AGGTGCTCTGACAACTGATGCTTAAAGTTAGTGAGGGAGATAAGAGTCTCCAGCTTCAGAGATTTTTGCAATTCGTTCCAGTCATTGGCAGCAGAGAACTGGAAGGAATGGCGGCCAAAGGAGGTGTTGGCTTTGGGAATGACCAGTGAGATATACCTGCTGGAGCGCAGACTACGGGTGGGTGCTGCTATGGTGACCAATGAGCTAAGATAAGGCGGGGATTTGCCTAGCAGTGATTTATAGATGGCCTGGAGCCAGTGGGTTTGACGACGAACATGTAGTGAGGACCAGCCAACAAGAGCGTACAGGTCACAGTGGTGGGTAGTGTATGGGGCTTTGGAGACAAAACGGATGGCACTGTGATAGACTACATCCAATTTGCAGAGTAGAGTGTTGGAGGCTATTTTGTAAATGACATCGCCGAAGTCAAGGATCGGTAGGATAGTCAGTTTTACGAGGGCATGTTTGGCAGCATGAGTGAAGGAGGCTTTGTTGCGAAATAGGAAGCCGATTCTAGATTTAACTTTGGATTGGAGATTCTTAATGTGAGTCTGGAAGGAGAGTTTACAGTCTAACCAGACACCTAGGTATTTGTAGTTGTCCACATACTCTAGGTCAGACCCGTCGAGAGTGGTGATTCTAGTCGGGTGGGCGGGTGCCAGCAGCGTTCGATTGAAGAGCATGCATTTAGTTTTACTAGTGTTTAAGAGCAGTTGGAGGCTACTGAAGGAGTGTTGTATGGCATTGAAGCTCGTTTGGAGGTTTGTTAACACAGTGTCCAATGAAGGGCCAGATGTATACAAAATGGTGTCGTCTGCGTAGAGGTGGATCTGAGAGTCACCAGCAGCAAGAGCGACATCATTGATATACACAGAGAAAAGAGTCGGCCCAAGAATTGAACCCTGTGGCACCCCCATAGAGACTGCCATAGGTCCAGACAACAGGCCCTCCGATTTGACACATTGAACTCTATCTGAGAAGTAGTTGGTGAACCAGGCGAGGCAGTCATTTGAGAAACCAAGGCTATTTAGTCTGCCAATAAGAATGCGGTGGTTGACAGAGTCGAAAGCCTTGGCCAGGTCGATGAAGACGGCTGCACAGTACTGTCTATTATCGATCGCGGTTATAATATCGTTTAGGACCTTGAGCGTGGCTGAAGTGCACCCATGACCAGCTTGGAAACCGGATTGCATAGCGGAGAAGGTACGGTGGGATTCGAAATGGTCGGTGATCTGTTTGTTAACTTGGCTTTCAAATACTTTCGAAAGGCAGGGCAGGATGGATATAGGTCTGTAACAGTTTGGATCTAGAGTGACACCCCCTTTGAAGAGGGGGATGACCTCGGCAGCTTTCCAATCTCTGGGGATCTCAGACGTTAAAAAAGAGAGGTTGAACAGGCTAGTAATAGGGGTTGCGACAATTTCGGCGGCTAGTTTTAGAGAGAAAGGGTCCAGATTGTCTAGCCCAGCTGATTTGTAGGGGTCCAGATTTTGCAGCTCTTTCAGAACATCAGCTGTCTGAATTTGTGTGAAGGAGAAGCGGGGGGGGGGGGGGGGGGGGCATGGGCAAGTTGCAGCGGAGGGTGCAGAGTTGGTGGCCGGGGTAGTGGTAGCCAGGTGGAAAGCATGGCCCGCCGTAGCAAAATGCTTGTTGAAATTCTCGATTATTGTAGATTTATCGGTGGTGATAGTGTTTCCTAGCCTCAGTGCAGTGGGCAGCTGGGAGGAAGTGCTCTTATTCTCCATGGACTTTACAGTGTCCCAAAACTTTTTGGAGTTAGTGCTTCAGGATGCAAATTTCTGTTTGAAAAAGTTAGCCTTTGCTTTCCTGACTGCTTGTGTATATTGGTTCCTAACTTCCCTGAAAAGTTGCATATCGCGGGGGCTATTTGATGCTAATGCAGTACGCCACAGGATGTATTTGTGCTGGTCAAGGGCAGTCAAGTCTGAGGAGAACCAAGGGCTATATCTGTTCTTAGTTCTGCATTTTTTGAATGGGGCATGCTTATTTAAGATTGAGATGAAAGCACTTTTAAAGAACAACCAGGCATCCTCTACTGACGGAATTAGGTCAATATCCATCCAGGATACCTGGGCCAGGTCAATTAGGAAGGCATGCTCGCTAAAGTGTTTTAGGGAGCGTTTGTCAGTGATGAGGGGTGGTCGTTTGACTGGGGACCCATTACGGACTCAGGCAATAAGGTAGTGATCGCTGAGATCCTGGATGAAGACAGCGGAGGTGTATTTAGAGGGTACATTTGTCAGGATGATTTCTATGTTTACAGATTTTGGGTTGTACCTGGTAGGTTCGTTGATAATTTGTGTGAGATTGAGGGCATCTAGTTTAGATTGTAGATTGGCCGGGGTGTTAAGCTTATCCCAGTTTAGGTCACCAAGCAGTACGAACTCTGAGGAAAGATGGGGGGCAATCAATTCACATATGGTGTCCAGGGCACAGCTGCGGGCTGAGGGGGGTCTGTAGCAAGCGGCAACAGTGAGAGACTTATTTCTGGAAAGGTGGATTTTTAGAAATAGAAGCTCAAACTGTTTGGGCACAGACCTGATGGTATGATAGAGCTCTGCAGGCTATCTCTACAGTAGATTGCAACCCCACCCCCTTTGGCAGTTCTATCGAGATGGAAAATGTTGTAGTTGGGGATGGACATTTCTGAATTTTTGGTGGCCTTCCTAAGCCAGGATTCAGACACTGCTAGAGTGTGCTAACGCAGTGAATAACTCAAACTTAGGGAGGAGGCTTCAGATGTTAACGTGCAAGAAACCAAGGCTTTTACGGTTACAGAAGTCAACAAATGATAACGTCTGTGGAATAGGAGTGATACTGGAGGCTACAGGGCATGGGTTAACCTCTACATCACCAGAGGAACAGAGGAGGAGTAGAATAAGGATACGGCTAAAGGCTTTAAGAACTGGTCTTCTAGTGCGTTGGGTACAGAGAAAAAAATTTGTAGAATAGATTGAGGGCATTATGTACAGACAAGGATATGGAAGGATATGAGTACGGTGGAGGTAAACCTAAGCGTTGGGTAACGATGAAAGAGATAGCATCACTGGAGGCACCGATTGAGTCGGTCTCCGCGTGTATGGGGAGTGGGACAAAGGAGCTGTCTAAGGCAGGTTGAGCTGGGCTGGGGGTTCTACAGTGAAATAGTACAATAAGAAATAACTGAAACAGCAATAAGCAAGGCATATTGACATGGGAGAGAGGCATAAAGCAATCACAGGTGTTATTCGAGAGAGCTAAGACAACAGCTGGTAATGGCGACAAAGTTTGTGCTGAGGCTAAACATAAACAGGATGCGGTACCATATAAAGGAACAGTCCAGCAGGCATCAGCTGTATAGCTGAGTTATCATAAGGTCCGGTGAACAGCAATAGGAGAGTTCGGAGGTAGTTCGGGGGCTGCTACAGCACTGCCGAGCAAGAGGCCCGGCTTGCGTGTGCTAGCGGGCCGGGATAGCAGATGGATCTTCGTGGTCAACGTCGTAACGGGAAGCCTGTTGAAACCACATAAGACAATTTCATCGGCAAACCAGTCGTGTTGGATCGGCGGGGCTCCGTGTCAACACTAGGAGGTCCCGTCCGGTTGACAGAGAGGTAGATAGCCGGGAGATAGGCCTGGCTCGAGGCTAGCTCAAGGCTAACTGGTGCTTGCTAATGGGCAATGGTAATTAGCCAACGACAACAGCCATTTGGTTGCAGCTAGCTGGTTGCGATGATCCGGCGCTAGGGTCCAGTGATTCCGGCAGAAAATCCGATATGCTCTGGGTCGATAGCACGCTGTGCAGACTGGCCGACAAATTGTCCAGGCTAGAGCTAGAGCTGGCTGGTGGGTAGTTCAGGCCACGGACAATGGTGAAGACGCTAATGGTGGCTAATAGCAAGTAGCCATTCGGTTGCGCTAGGCTAGTTTCAGCTTAAGATTCTTGATGAAAGTTATAAAGAAATAATAGAATCCTTTCCACGTTGGGTGAGGCGGGTTGCAGGAACGTATATTAAGTGAAAGAATGAAAAGTAAAATTGAGATATATATATATACAAAATAGACAAAAAAATTAAAAACTGGCTATTTACACAAGGACACAGAAAAAAACACGACCGCACTGCTACGCCATCTTGGCGTACCATGATTCCATATGTATTATTTCATAGTTCTGATGTCTTCTACAATGTAGAAAATAGTAAAAATAAAGAAAATCCATTGAATGAGTAGGTGTTCTAAAACCTTTGACCGATACTGTAGATATAGTAAGTAATTATTATCCTACAATGAATTGATGCTAGTGCCACTACTAACGCACAACATATCTGGTATCTGTATGTCTTGCCTCACAAGATGGGCTAATGATAGTTAATTACGTTGATGACAGGTGTTCAAATATCTTGTGTGATATAAAACATGAAAAATGCTCCATAGACACGCACACCCACTGTAGGCCTATGCTTCTCATACATTCCTGTTGAAGCAACAGCTGGTGGCCTTTCTCTGTGAAACCCCAAACAATACATAAAGAGAGAGAGAGAGAGAGACAAAGAGAGCAAGAGAGAGAGAGAGAGCAAGAGAGAGAGAGAGTGTGAGAGAGAGAGAGAGAGAGAGAAAGACAGCGAGATAGAGAAACAAAGAGAGCAAGAGAGAGAGCAAGACAGAGAGAGAGAGAGAGAGAGAGAGAGAGTGAGAGAGAGAGAGTGAGAGAGAGAGAGAGAGAGAGAGAGAGAGAGAGAGAGAGAGAGAAAAGACAGCGAGATAGAGAAACAAAGAGAGCAAGAGAGAGAGCAAGACAGACATAGAGAGAGAGAGAGAGAGAGAGAGAGAGAGAGAGAGAGAGAGAGAGAGAGAGAGAGAGAGAGAGAGAGAGAGAGAGAGAGAGAGAGAGAGAGAGAGAGAGAGAGAGAGAGAGAGAGAGAAAGACAGCGAGATAGAGAGAAAAAGAGCGATGTCTCTCTGAGGCCACACCCTCGGGTGGCATTGGCCAGTTTGGTGTCCCCTCCCTGGAGGTCAAAAACAGGGATAGAGAATAAAGAAAGGCGTAATAACAAGTGACTAAACTAGTGACTGAGAGACGTGTAAGAGCACCTAGGCGCTAGTCAAACTTTTGAATATCTGTCGCATGAGCGGACCAGCTTTCAGCTTCTAGGGGTATGTAGCCTGTCTCTCTGCCAAATAATATACGCAAAGTCAGTGTTTTGATTCAGTAACATAATAGAGAGAAGGCTGGAGGTATGTAAAGACAAATGTATGTTTAGTTTTTCATATTTCTCATATCAGAGAGGACTTGTATGTATGTTGTTAGTAGTAATATATGCTGTTGTGTGAAGATAATGTGCTATGAGGAAAAAGCATGTTCTATTGAATGAGTAAGAATTGAAAGTATTGAATGAATATGTTCACAAAATGATCTGCATGTGTGAATGTATTTGTCAGGGCATTAAAATGGGTTATGAGAATTCTGTCATGAATAGGGTCTTATATATGGACTATAAATAACGATATGTACATATTTTTACATTGACATGAAATGTGAAAATATACTCTCATTTATAAAAATGGAATAGTGCTCTATAGACACTGAGATAATGCCTATTGCAAAGCTTTAAAAAAATCTCTATATTCATCATGTGAGCTGTTCAAGCCTTAATCAATCTCAAATCATAGCAGCAGTCTGTTCTTACCTCATGTGAAATGTAGAATGGGGCATCCTTATGGTTAGAATGTTTGGAAATCTGATCCGAGTGTATTATCAGTCAAGCTTAGATGCTGGGTTTCCTATCCTTGTTGTTTAAAACTGGGAATGGTAAACTAACCTAGTCCCAGATCTGTCTGTGATGCTGTCTTGCCAGGCATGACAATGACCATATGAGTTGGCAATACAGAACAAACAGGATACTTTTTCTTTCTAAAGTTATGAAGCACTGCCGGAGTCTACTCTCGATCTCAGTGCCACCTCTATATTGACATTAGCTGTATGAGTCACAATAACTAATCCATCAATCACTATCAAATAATTGGTGGTTATAAAAGATTAACAGTAGTTTATATTTATTACTATTCCTGCTCCTTCGAAAATGACAGCTATTGGCCAATAGGCAGATACAGAGCCATATATTGAGAATTATATGGCTCTGGGCAGATACTGTACTTCCCAGCTCAGATACTCAGGCTTGCTAATGAAAGGCTTGCTAATGTTTTGTCAAGGTTGTGCTCGCACCTCATAGTGTGGGTGTTAGTGGGAGAGAGTATAATCCTTATCATGAATGGCCCGAGGAATGTTGCTTATGTGCAGCTCTGTGTTCTTCTGTCAAAGGTGTGTATAGGAAAGGTGTGTTGTGGAGGGTGTGTCTGTGTCTCACTCTATGGGGGCAGAGCAAGATGGACAGGTTTGCGGGCTTAACTGGTGAGTCAGGGGTGAGAGAGCACTGGCAGTTGGCACTGTTGCTATAACAACATAGTGTGGGCAAGGGTGGTTGTCTAAAGAGCAAATTCTTCTTATGTCGGCATACTACAGTACAGACAGATAGTTTGGCCTGTCGTGTGTGAGTATTGTGTAGTGGGGCTGGGTCATGTTACAGCAAAATGAACCATTTCCATTGTCTCTGGGTCATTCTTGAACTGGGGTGGCATTTGCATCCATTTGCAACCCATTTATGAAAATCCTCAGTTAGCAAAAAGTTGAAAAAATTACCCTGATCTTGGTTTCCGTTTCCGGTGGCATGCATTGAAACGTGGCTTTCTCATGGCCTTCTTTTGCAAAATAATTCTGAATTAACAGACTTATTTTAAAATAATTATCAACATATAACACTATATTAAGGTGTGTGACATTCACTGTATTACAAGGAACAACTAGCAGGTCTATTTCGCTCCAGCAGCTAGCATAATCTGTCCATTCACAATTCACCTGTGGTAAGATGGCAGCTCTCAACATGCGACAACAGAAAGAGTTGGCCACTACTATTCGAGAGATTGCTATTACTCTTTCCAAAGTGAAGACAGAACTTAATTTATTGATAAGACAATTACATGGTAATCGAGCTATGCAGTAATGATCAATTAGTTGATATAGAAACTATTGAATCTCAAACCGGGGAATTACTATCAGAATTACTATCATTTTTTAAATTATTTGAGCAGCATATTGTTAGAAATAACTGAATTCCATCTGGTTACTGGAACAGACATGAATGCCATTTTGGACAAATCTAATAAGCCCAACCACAATCCACATGCAACCAAGGCTCTGCAGCATATACTCTCTGATTACAACCTCATTGATGCCTGGCGAGCATATAATCCTAAAGCAAAAGAGTACACTTTCTACTCAAACAGGCATAAAACATTCTCACAAATCAATTTTATACTATTATTTACACCTCTATTTTCATTAATCAAGAAAATAGAAATGTGACATATGAACATTACAACAAAGTCCTATATTCTGTGATCAATTTGAAATTGAACTAAATTAATTCATAATGATCAACAAATATTCAGTCGTTGACCCCTATGGGATGCCACCAAAGGTTTTATAAAAAAAATAATGCAACTGCATTTGCATCTGGGTTGAATAAATCACAATTAAAGAAGATATCAGAATTGGAAATGTTGTAAACTGCGTTAGAGCGTTCTCAACAACGGACCAGGTAGCTTTTACTCTTTCCAAACTGGGATTGGTAAATGTACTAACCTGGTCCCAGATCTGTTTGTGCTGCTGCCTTGCCAGGCCATATGAGTTGGCAACACAGCACAAACAGGATACTTTTTCTTTCTAAAGTTATGAAGCACAGCTGGAGTCCTTTGCTAGGAATCAAACTGATTACGCATTAGAAATGAGTAACACAACAGAATCTACTCTCGATCTCAGTGCCACCTCTATATTGACATTAGCTGTATGAGTCACAATAACCAATCCATCAATCACTATCAAATAATGAATGGTTATAAAAGATTAACAGTAGTTTATATTTATTACTATTCCTGCTCCTTCGAAAATGACAGCTAGCCATATACATGTAGAGAGAGTTATATGGCTCTGGGCAGATACTGTACTTCCCAGCTCAGATACTCAGGCTTGCTAATGAAAGGCTTGCTAATGTTTTGTCAATGTTGTGCACGCACCTCATGGTGTGGGTGTTAGTGGGAGAGAGTATCATCCTTATCATGAATGGCCCAAGGAATGTTACTGATGTGCAGCTCTGTGTTCTACTGTCAAAGGTGTGTATAGGAAAGGTGTGTCGTGGAGGGTGTGTCTGTGTCTCACTCTATGGGGGCAGAGCAAGACGGACAGGTTTGCGGGCTTAACTGGTGAGTCAGGGATTAGAGAGCACTGGCAGTTGGCATTGTTGGTACAACTACATAGTGTGGACAAGGGTGGTTGTCTGAAGAGCAAATTCTTCCTATATCGGCATACTGCAGTACAGACAGATAGTTTGGCCTGTCGTGTGTGAGTGGTGTGGGGCTGGGTCATGTTACAGCAAAATGCAAAATGTCCATTGTCTCTGGGTCATTCTTGAATTGGAGTGGCATTTGCATCCCATTTGCAACCCATTTATGAAAATCCTCAATGATAAAAAAATCACCATGATCTTGGTATCCGATTCCGGTTTTATGCATTGAAACGTGTGGCTTTCTCGTGGCTATCTTTTGCAAAATAACTATTTATTTTCAAATAATTATCAACATATAACACTATATTAAGGTGTGGGATGTTCACTGTATTACAAGGAACAACTAGCAGGTCTATTTCGCTCCAGCAGCTAGCATAATCTATCCATTCACACTTCACCTGTGGGAACATGGCGGCTCTCAACACGTGACAACAGAAAGAGTTGGCCGCTACTATTTGAGAGATTGCTATTTCTCTTTCCAAAGTCAAGACATAACTTAATTTATTGATAAGACAATTACATGGTCATCGTTTACTGGCCAACAAGCTATGCAGTAATGATCAATTAGTTGATATAGAAACTATTGAATCTCAAACCGGGGAATTACTATCAGAATTACTATAATTTTTTAAATTATTTGAGCAGCATATTGTTAGATATATAATCCTAAAGCAAAAGAGTACACTTTCTACTCAAACAGGCATAAAACATTCTCACAAATCAATTTTATACTATTATTTACACCTCTATTTTCATTAATCAAGAAAATAGAAATTTGACATATGAACATTACAACAAAGTCCTATATTCTGTGATCAATTTGAAATTGAACTAAATTAATTCATAATGATCAACAAATATTCAGTTGTTGACCCCTATGGGATGCCACCAAAGGTTTTATAAAAAATAATGCAACTGCATTTGCATCTGGGTTGAATAAATCACAATTAAAGAAGATATCAGAATTGGAAATGTTGTAAACTGCGTTAGAGCGTTCTCAACAACGGACCAGGTAGCTTTTACTCTTTCCAAAGTCAAGACAGAACTTAATTTATTGATAAGAGAGAGAGCATAATTTGCCATCCATCGAGTTAGACTCATCGATTAATTTCATGGCAATCGTCCTAGTCGTTTACTGGTCAACAAGCTACACAGTATTGATCAATTAGCTGATTTAGCAACTATTAAATCTGAAACAGGGGAATTACTATCAGAACCCAAATTAATCAATCAAAGATTCTCCCGCTTCTATAAAGAACTGTACACCTCCAATTGTAAAGAGACACCAAGCCAGACTAAGTCCGAACTCCTCTTCTCAACAGAGGAAGCCACCTCGCTGGGAGCCCAAATCTCTATCAGTGAACTCAAAAGGGCATTGGATAGTGTGAATAAAGGCAAATCACCTGGATGGGATGGTATTCCTCCTGAGGTCTATTTAAAATGTTGGAATCAATTAGGTCCACTATTGCTAAAAAATTAGGTCCACTATTGCTCAAAATGATTAATACAACACTTTGAAAAATCTACTCTTTTGGATATCCTTAATTTGGCAGATGCTCTTATCCAGAGCAACTTACAGTTAGTGAGTGCATACATTTTTTATACTGGCCCCCCATGGGAATCAAACCCACAACCCTGGCGTTGCAAGCTCCATGCTCTACCAACTGAGCTACACGGGACCAATATACAGCCAAAGGAATCTTTGCTAATGAGCTCAATGACCATTGTCCCATAGCCTGCATTAGAGATACTAAGCTACCGAAATCTTATCCACGCAACATTACAAAGACGGTTTGGGGTAATCTTTGAATGCATTTCTTTGATCGTTTTTGTACCTGTAAGCCCCCCCCCCCCCCCCCCCCCCCCAAAAAAAAAGAAGAACAAAATTGACAAAATAAATGACATAATTGGTTACCAAAAGAAAAAGCTAACATTTGTCATTGCCGTTACCTTCATTGGTGTTACCTTCATTGGTGTTACTACTCCTATTGGTGGCACAATGTTATCAAGATGGTAAACATTATTTAAAGCAAGTCAGCTGTCATTTAAAAAATATAATAATAATAATGATAATAATAATAATAATAATAATAATAATAATAATAATAATAATAATAATAATAATAATAATAATAATAAATATGCCATTTAGCAGACGCTTTTATCCAAAGCGATGTACAGTCATGCGTGCATACATTTTTGTGTATGGGTGGTCCCGGAAAGACATATGGTTTTGTGTAGGAATTGGATAGATTTCTCTATAACAACACCATTTTTACATAAGATAACAGCTGACAGTGACATGTCCTGGTCATCTCATTGCTATAGCTTCTCTGAATGTATATTTTACCCCTGTAGAGTGGCTTACCTTGTTCTTGAACACAGCTCCTTATTGTCATACAGTAACAATATTGTACCAATAGCACCACCCTGTGGATGAATGATGGTTACTTAATTTAGAATATTTCCCTTTTTTCCAGATTGAACAAAGGTGACAATATCAAAATGTCTTATTCCTACTCCAAGAGGTCTTATTCTCCCAGTGCCGGTAAGTAACTATGTACAGTGCCTAGTGAAAGTCTACACACCCCTTGCACAGTTTTCACATTTTGCTGCCTTCAATTTTAATATGAAAATGATTTTATTTTTTAAACATTCACTACTGACGCGCATGTTTCAAATAAATAAATAAATAACAAAAATATAAAAATATGTCTTGATTATGTAGGTCTTTACACCCCATAGTTATTACTATGTGGAGGCCCCTTTGGCAGCAATTATAGCTATAAATCATTTTTAATAAGATCCCACCAACTCCAAAATTGGTCAAGCTCAGCCAATTTGGTTGGTAATCCATGATGGATACAATATTCAAACCTTGTCTCAGATTTTCAAGCAGATTTAAGTCATGACTGAGACTGGACCACTCAGGAACACTAACCCCTTTTGGAAAGTCATTCTGGCTTTTGCCTTATTTGAAGTTGGCTTCTTCTACAGAAACAGATCGTGCCTTTCTCTAAGCAGTAGGAAGCAGATTATTCAGTCAACCTTTTTATCTGTTCTTGATATTGATATTATTTATCAAAGTGCAGCTGCTACTACTGCTTAAACCTTTAGATTTCACCTTTATTTATTTAACCAGGTAAGCCAGTTGAGAACAAGTTCTCAATTACAACTGCGACCTGGCCAAGATAAAGCAAAGCAGTGCGAAAAAAACAACAACACAGAGTTACATATGGGGTAAACAAAACATAAAGTCAAAAATACAACAGAAAATATATTTACAGTGTGTGCGAATGTAGTAAGTTATGGAGGTAAGGCAATAAATAGGCCATAGTGCAAAATAGTTACAATTTCGTATTAACACTGGAATGATAGATGTGCAAAAGATGATGTGCAAATAGAGATACTGGGGTGCAAATTAGCAAAATAAATAACAATATGGGGATGAGGTAGTTGGGTGGGCTAATTTCAGAATGACTGTGTACAGGTGCAGTGATCGGTAAGCTGCTCTGACAATTGACGCTTAAAGTTAGTGAGGGAGATTAGAGTCTCCAGCTTCAGAGATTTTTGCAGTTCGTTCCAGTCATTGGCAGCAGAGAACTGGAAGGAATGGCGGCCAAAGGAGGTGTTGGCTTTGGGGATGACCAGTGAGATATACCTGCTGGAGCGCAGACTACGGGTGGGTGTTACTATGGTGACCAGTGTTGCTAGATGCCATCTACCATAGTGCCTTTCATTTTGTTACAGGTGACAGTTTTCATACTTATCACTGCATCCTGTATCAAAAGGTTCGCTACATTACTCAACTTACTTCATAAACTTCCGTCTTATCTAACTTTGCTGTTGAAATATAGAGACCTGAGTTGCCTAACCTGTTCACAGGATTGGTTAACTCTTGAGGTTCCTATGGTCTCCACCGCGCTAGATAAATCTACTTTGAGTTTTAATGGACCGTGTTGCTAGAACAAAATTCTAAATACGTTTAATCTTGATGTTCTGGTCCCATTTGGGCAATTGAAAGTATTGATTGGGGACTTATTTGTGGAGGAATGTAACTGTTTTTCTGGGTGATTTGTGATGTTTAATTTATGCTTCCCATGACTGTTTTTGTATTTTAATGTGTATATATATACACAGGGCACATTTAAAAAAGAGACCTAGGTTTCATTATGTCTTCCCTGTTCAGCTCAGCCATTGAGTTTTCTGGCTGTTTTAAAATCTTAAAGGCCCAGTGCAGTCAAAAACATAATTTTCCTCTGTTTTATATATATTTCCACACTATGAGGTTGGAATAATACTGTGTAATTGTGAAAATGATCATGCCCTTTAAGTGTAAGAGCTGTTTGAAAAGACAGCCTGTTTTGGTGGGATGGAGCTTTGGCCTGCATGGTGACATCACCAGGTGGTAAATTAGTTAATAGACCAATAAGAAAGCGAGTTCCAAACCTCTCTGCAAATAACAGCTAGTTTTCCGTTTTCCCCTACCCACTTAGACCACTCCCAGACAGTCCTAGCAAAATTATTGGTTGAGAAATTGCTCATTGCTAAGAAGCTATTGTTTCTTTTTGACCATTTTAATTTAAAACAATCACGGCAAGGTACTTAATTGTTACCAGAAATTATTTGAAATTGAGATTAAAACGGCTGCATTGGACCTTTAAGCCTCATAGTGATATTCCTGCAGCTCAGTTAGGAAGGATGGCCAGATCTGTCTGGGTGATATGATACACCATCCACAGATGAATTACCATACTTGACAATACTCAAAGGGATTTTCGGTGGCTTAGAATTATTTCATAACCTCCCCTGATTTATGCCTGTCTAAAACATCTATCCCAGACATGCTTCTAAAGATCATTGGTGGCTCTGAGGTTAAATCATTGTTTGAAATTCACTATCCAACTGAGGGACTTTACACTTTACAGAGACAGGGGAAGTTAGTCTTAAATCATGAGAACCACTTATTTTGCAAACAGATGGACCTCATTCAACAAATTGTGTGATTTTTCATGAACATATTTTCACCTGAACTTATCTATATGTGCCACAAGGGGTGTGGAGACTTTTGCAATCAAGACTTCTTTGTTTTTATTTTTGTATTAATTGCATAACATTTCTATAATTGTGGAGTAGGTTGTGGGAAAAAATTCCCAATGGTATAACTTTTTAGATTGAAATTTAAGGAAGCAAAATATGAAAACTGTGCAAGGGGCTGTAGACTTTCACTAGGTACTGTATACACAATAACATTTACATTTACATTTACGTCATTTAGCAGACGCTCTTATCCAGAGCGACTTACAAATTGGTACATTCACCTTATAGCCAGTGGGTAACCACATTACAATATGTTTTTTTTTTTTGGGGGGGGGGGGGGGGGGGGGGGGGGGGGGGGGGGGGGGGGGGGGGGGGGGAGATGAGGGGGGGTAGAAGGATTACATTATCCCAGGTATTCCTTAAAGAGGTGGGGTTTCAAGTGTCTCCGGAAGGTGGTGAGTGACTCCGCTGTCCTAGCATCGCAGGGAGCTTGTTCCACCATTGGGGTGCCAGAGCAGCGAACAGTTTTGACTGGGCTGAGCGGGAACTGTGCTTCCGCAGAGGTAGGGGGGCCAGCAGGCCAGAGGTGGATGAACGCAATGCCCTCGTTTGGGTGTAGGGACTGATCAGAGCCTGAAGGTACGGAGGTGCCGTTCCCCTCACAGCTCCGTAGGCAAGCACCATGGTATTGTAGCAGATGCAAGCTTCAACTGGAAGCCAGTGGAGTGTGCGGAGGAGCGGGGTGACGTGAGAGAACTTGGGAAGGTTGAACACCAGATGGGCTGCGGCATTCTGGATGAGTTGTAGGGGTTTAATGGCACAGGCAGGGAGCCCAGCCAACAGCGAGTTGCAGTAATCCAGACGGGAGATGACAAGTGCCTGGATTAGGACCTGTGCCGCTTCCTGTGTAAGCAGGGTCGTACTCTCCGAATGTTGTAGAGCATGAACCTACAGGCTCGGGTCACCGCCTTGATATTAGTGGAGAACGACAGGGTGTTGTCCAGGGTCACGTCAAGGCTCTTTGCACTATGGGATGAGAACACAACGGAGTTGTCAACCGTGATGGCGAGATCATGGAACAGGCAGTCCTTCCCCGGGAGGAAGAGCAGCTCCGTCTTGCCGAGGTTCAGCTTGAGGTGGTGATCCGTCATCCACACTGATATGTCTGCCAGACATGCAGAGATGCGATTTGCCACCTGGTTATCAGAAGGGGGAAAGGAGAAGATTAGTTGTGTGTCGTCTGCGTAGCAATGATAGGAGAGGCCATGTGAGGATATGACAGAGCCAAGTGACTTGGTGTATAGCGAGAATAGGAGAGGGCCAAGAACTGAGCCCTGGAAAACACCAGTGGTGAGAACACATGGTGCGGAGACAGATTCTCGCCACACCACTTGGTAGGAGCGACCGGTCAGGTAGGACGCAATCCAAGAGTGAGCCGCGCCGGAGATGCCCAACTCGGAGAGGGTGGAAAGGAGGATCTGATGGTTCACAGTATCAAAGGCAGCAGACAGGTCTAGAAGGACAAGAGCAGAGGAGAGAGAGTTAGCTTTAGCAGTCTCAGTTGAATGACCAGTCTTGAAACCTGACTGGTTTGGATCAAGAAGGTAATTCTGAGAGAGATTGCAAGAGAGTTGGCTAGAGACGGCACGCTCAAGAATTGGAGAGAAAAGAAAGAAGGGATACTGGTCTGTAGTTGTTGACATCAGAGGGATCGAGTGTTGGTTTTTTGAGAAGGGGTGCAACTCTCGCTCTCTTGAAGACAGAAGGGACATAGCCAGCAGTCAAGGATGAGTTGATGAGCGAGGTGAGGTAAGGGAGAAGGTCACCGGAGATGGTCTGGAGAAGAGAGGAGGGGATAGGGTCAAGCGGGCAGGTTGTTGGGCGGCCGGCCGTCACAAGTCGCAAGATTTCATCTGGGTAGAGAGGGGAGAAAGAAGTCAAAGCATAGGGTAGGGCAGTGTGAGCAGGACCAGCAGTGTCATTTGACTTAACAAATGAGGATCGGATGTCGTCAACCTTCTTTTCAAAATGGTTGACGAAGTCATCCACAGAGAGGGAGGAGGGGGGGGGGGGGGATTCAGCAGGGAGGAGAAGGTGGCAAAGAGCTTCCTAGGGTTAGAGGCAGATGCTTGGAATTTAGAGTGGTAGAAAGTGGCTTTAGCAGCAGAAACAGATGAAGAAAATGTAGAGAGGAGGGAGTGAAAAGATGCCAGGTCCGCAGGGAGTCTAGTTTTCCTCCATTTCCGCTTGGCTGCCCGGAGCCCTGTTCTGTGAGCTCGCAATGAGTCGTCAAGACACTGAGCAGGAGGGGAGGACTGAGCCGGCCGGGAGGATAGGGGACATAGAGAGTCAAATGATGCAGAAAGGGAGGATAGGAGGGTTGAGGAGGCAGAATCAAGAGATTGGAGGGAGAAGGATTGAGCAGAGGGAAGAGATGATAGGATGGAAGAGGAGAGAGTAGCGGGAGAGAGAGAGCGAAGGTTGCGACGGCGCATTACCATCTGAGTAGGGGCAGAGTGAGTAGTGTTGGAGGAGAGCGAGAGAGAAAAGAATACAAAGTAGTGGTCGGAGACATGGAGGGGAGTTGCAGTGAGATTAGTAGAAGAACAGCATCTAGTAAAGATGAGGTCAAGCGTATTGCCTGCCTTGAGAGTAGGGGGGGACGGTGAGAGGGTGAGGTCAAAATAGGAGAGGAGTGGAAAGAAGGAGGCAGAGAGAAATGAGTCAAAGGTAGACGTAGGGAGGTTGAAGTCACCCAGAACTGTGAGGGTGAGCCATCCTCAGGAAAGGAACTTATCAAGGCGTCAAGCTCATTGATGAACTCTCCAAGGGAACCTGGAGGGCGATAAATGACAAGGATGTTAAGCTTGAATGGGCTAGTGACTGTGACATCATGGAATTTAAATGAGGAGATAGACAGATGGGTCAGGGGAAAAATAGAGAATGTCCACTTGGGAGAGATGAGGATTCCAGTGCCACCACCCCGCTGACCAGATGCTCTCGGGGTATGCGAGAACAAATGGTCAGACGAGGAAAGAGCAGTAGGAGTAACAGTGTTTTCAGTGGTAATCCACGTTTCCGTCAGCGCCAAGAAGTCGAGGGACTGGAGGTTAGCATAGGCTGAGATGAACTCTGCCTTGTTGGCCGCAGAACGGCAGTTCCAGAGGCTGCCAGAGACCTGGAACTCCACGTGGGTCGTGCGTGCAGGGACCACCAGGTTAGAGAGGCAGCAGCCACGCGGTGTGAGGCGTTTGTATAGCCTGTGCGGAGAGGAGAGAACAGGGATAGACAGAGGCATAGTTGACAGGCTACAGAAAATGGCTACAATAATGCAAAGGAGATTGGAATGAAATGAACTAAACATCTGGGAAAGCGAGAGAGCGGGGCCTCCCTCACTTACGTTTCACTGAAACACCCAAATATAACTCTCCCAACTTCCACCTCAGAAACTATAATTGTTGTAAACTACAGCGGTTCAATGTTTTCTAGGAATAGACTAACTTAGTTTATTCAGCTAGCTAACTTGGTACAGTATTCTTCCGTGAAAACCGTCCAGGGCACCTAGTCATATGACGCCACAGCCATCTAGCATGCCGGACTCCAACAACACGGTTTAGCAACAATACTCGGCCACAACAAACCACCAGTGTGTCAACACGCCAAGCAGATCATTCGTGTCCGTGTCTAACGTTGTGGGTTAGTCCCGACAGCTTGAGCGAGTCCGTTGTGAACTTATTCAGCCAGTTAGTTAGCTAGAATAGTTAGCATACTAGCTAGCCATTGCTTTCTGCCTACGAAGAAACACGTCCTCCCACGGCACGAACACACAGAGAGAGCCAAGCTAACGTTAACTAGTCACCCTATGTCCCGAATTCCCTTGAACGACTCTGGTTACCAGTGTGTAAAAAATAGATTCTCAAAGTAGCTCGCTAGGTAATTAGCTAGCAAACATGTTTGACATGCATACAATCTTGAGTTTTGAAAATAAACAAAATACAGCAAGCCATGCACGCAAAAAATTCTAAAGAATCGACTCATAACACAGTATATGAGCATTATCAGTGCCACACACCTGGAATTTCACATTCCTAACACACATTCTTAGCAGCAATGAGGTAGACATCTGATTTTCACAAAAGCTTTCTGTTTCTACTGTTCTTATACACCCACAGTGTTCACTCCTCCATTTGTCCATTCATTCAGCCATGTTTTGTGTCCCAATCAACCCCTAAACATTGTCAAGGGAGCTATAGCAGAAGGCCCATTGTGTGAGGACTGAACAGCAGTGATATTAGTTAAATATTAGGGGCTGCTCAGGGTACCTAACTCCTCGGTGGGTTTTGACAGTGGGTGCGGTTTCACAGTGTCATAACCTCACAAAGGGGTCAGCATTGTAACCGGTCCTTGTGTTGAGTAACCAGGATGAATGATCAGGTGAAAGACAAAGACGGTCAAAGACAAAGACAGTCCCTGAGTTAGATATACTAATAGGCCTACAGTACTAGTTATGCACTTTCAATTGTGATAATTATGTCATTATAATGCAGTACTGCTTTTGTTCAGTCTATTGCAGTATTTTCAATAAGATCAACGTATAGGTCAGTTAGTCAATGTTTTGTGTGTGTGTGTGTGGTGTTGTGGTGGTTGTAGCTAATAGCAGCAGTCCAAGCCAGGCGATTGAGGACAGCAAGAAGAAGACGTCTCTGCTAAAGGACAGCAGTTGGATCAGGAGAGATGCAGAGGAGGACGAAGCAGTCGAGTGAGACACTGGCATCACACACACAAACACACACACACGAACAAACGTACAAACCACACACACACACCTCCACCCATCATCTGAATGGAACATTACTATAGGGTGTGGTAGAAGTTTAGGGTGTGACTAAACATGACTGCTATGTCATTACTGTCAAATAAAAAATCATCTGACCTTTCATTGTTACAGTAGTGGTGGCTAAATAACATGAAACTTTTGCCTGTCAACTTTTCTCTCTTTTAGCCGGGATCCCAACTTTGGCAGAGTGGTTCTGAACAAATACCGGTCCAATGAGGCTCTTGACAGGTAGACTCTTATTTCCTGATACTGTATCTCCTGTAGTCCCTTCCCTCATATATTACCTCAACTTGGCTTCAACTTGTATATAGATCCAAGAAAAGCTGAAGAACTACAAATAATTTATATTTTCATGGATTTTCATTAATACTTACTGAAAAAACAGCAGCCTCCTTCGAGATCATGAAATGAAAACATCTGATAATTACTGAAAGATTGTGGTCTACTTACTACATCAGTGTTATTATCAAAGGTCTCTTAGACCTATGGTTTAACAAACTTATTTATCCACAGTGCTGAGCCTGCAGACTCAAAATCCCCTAAAACGACAACCACCAAGACATTGTCTTCCGTAGAGGCCCTCAAAAAGAGGTATCAATATCACTGTTCAACACACACTGTCATCCTACTCAGGAACCAATATGTGTCCTATACCTACAGTGCATATCATAAGTATTCACTTATCTTATTTTATTGTGTTACAAAGTGAGATTAAAATTGATATAATTGTACATTTTTGTCAACGATCTACACAAAATACACTGTAATGTCGAAGTGGAAGAAAATTGCTAACAAATATGTATTAATTAAAAATAAAACACTAATATATCTTGATTAGATAACTATTCACCCCCCTGAGTCAATACATGTTAGAAACCCCAGCACCAATTACAGCTGAGAGTCTTTTTGGGTAAGCTTGAGTTGTGCAATATTTGGCCATTATATTATTTTTAAAATTCTTTAAGCTCTGTCAAATTGGTTGTTGATCATTGTTAAACAGCCATTTTCAAGTCTTGCTGTAGATTTCTACACAGATTTAAGTCAAAACTGTGAGGCCACTCGGGAACAGTGTCTTCTTGGTAAGCATCTGCAGTATAGATTTGGTCTTGTGTTTTAGATTATTGTCCTGCTAAAAGGTGAAATTGTCTCCCAGTGTCTGGTGGAAAGCAGACTGAACCTGGTTTTCCTCTAGGAGTTTGCCTGTGGTTAGCACCATTCTGTTTATTTTTATCCTGGAAAACTCCCCAGTCCTTGCCAATGAAAAGCATACCCATAACATGATCAAATAAAATAAAATAAAGGTTAATTGGTCTTGTACACAGATTTGCAGATGTTATCACAGGGGCAGCAAAATGGTTGTGTTTCTAGCTCCAACAATACATTAATAATCTAAAAAGTAAAAAATTAATTAAATGATGCAGCCACAACTATGCTTGAAAATATGGGGAGTGGTACTCAGTGATGTGTTGTGTTGGATTTTTTGCAGTATTACTTTAGTGCGTTGTTGCAAACACGATGCATGTTTTGGAATATTTGTTATTCTGTACAGGCTTTCTTCTTTTCACTCTGTCATTTAGGTTAGTATTGTGGAGTAACTACGATGTTGTTGATCCATACTCAGTTTTCTCCCATCACAACCATTAAACTCTGTAACTGTTTTAAAATCACCATTGGTGGAATTCCTGAGCGGTTTCCTTCCTCTGCGGCAACTCAGTTAGGAGGGACGCCTGTATCTCTGTAGTGACTGGGTGTATTGATACAGTGCCTTGCAAAAGTATTCATCCCCCTTGGCGTTTTTCCTATTTTGTTGCATTACAACTTGTAATTTAAATGGATTTTCATTTGGATTTCATGTAATGGACATAAAAAAATGACTTATTTCAAAAAATTATAACAAATAAATAACGGAAAAGTGGGGTGTGCATATGTATTAAGCCCTTTTGCTATGAAGCCCCTAAATAAGATCTGGTGCAACCAATTACCTTCAGAAGTCACATAATTAGTTAAATAAAGTCCACCTGTGTGCAATCTAAGTGTCACATGATCTCAGTATATTTACACCTGTTCTGAAAGGCCCCAGAGTCTGCAACACCACTAAGCAAGGGGCACCACCAAGCAAGCGGCACCATGAAAACCAAGGAGCTCTCCAAACAGGTCAGGGACAAAGTTGTGGAGAAGTAGAGATCAGGGTTGGGTTCTAAAAAAATATCCCAAACTTTGAACATCCCACAGAGCACCATTAAATCCATTATTAAAAAATTGAAAGAATATGGCACCACAACGAACCTGCCAAGAGAGGGCCGCCCACCAAAACTCACGGACCAGGCAAGGAGGGCATTAATCAGAGAGGCAACAAAGACACCAAAGATAACCCTGAAGGAGCTGCGAAGCTCCACAGCGGAGATTGAAGTATCTGTCTATAGGACCACTTTAAGCCGTACACTCCACAGAGCTGGGCTTTATGGAAGAGTGGCCAGAAAAAAGCCATTGCTTAAAGACAAAAATAAGCAAACACATTTGGTGTTCGCCAAAAGGCATGTGGGAGACTCCCCAAACATATGGAAGAAGTTACTCTGGTCAGATGAGACTAAAATGTAGCTTTTTGGCCATCAACGAAAACGCTATGTCTGGCGCAAACCCAACACCTCTCATCACCCCGAGAACACCATCCCCACAGTGAAGCATGGTGGTGGCAGCATCATGCTGTGGAGATGTTTTTCATTGGCAGGGACTGGGAAACTGGTCAGAATTAAAGGAATGATGGATGGCGCTAAATACAGGGAAATTCTTGAGGGAAACCTGTTTCAGTCTTCCACAGATTTGAGACTAGGACAGAGGTTCACCTTCCAGCAGGACAATGACCCTAAGCATACTGCTAAAGCAACACTTGAGTGGTTTAAGGGGAAACATTTAAATCTCTTGGAATGGCCCAGTCAAAGCCCAGACTTCAATCCAATTGAGAATCCGTGGTATGACTTAAAGATTGCTGTACACCAGCGGAACCCATCCAACTTGAAGGAGCTGGAGCAGTTTTGCCTTGAAGAATGGGCAAAAATCCCAGTGGCTAGATGTGCCAAGCTTATGGAGACATACCCCAAGAGACTTGCAGCTGTAATTGCTGCAAAAGGTTGCTCTACAAAGTATTGACTTTGGGGGGGGGGCTCAAGTTTTCTGTTTTTTTGTCTTATTTCTTGTTTGTTTCACAATAAAACATATTTTGCATTTTCAAAGTGGTAGGCATGTTGTGTAAATCAAATGATACAAACCCCCAAAAAATCAATTTTAATTCCAGGTTGTAAGGCAACAAAATAGGAAAAATGCCAAGGGGGGTGAATACTTTCGCAAGCCACTGTACACCATCTAAAGCCTAACTAATAACTTTACCATGCTCAAAGGGATATTGAATGTCTGCTTTAAAAAAAAATATATATATATATCTGCCAATCGGTGCCCTTTTTTGTGAGGTATTGGAAAAGCTCCCTGGTCTTCGTGGTTGAATCTGTGCTTGCAATACACTACTCGACTGAGGGACCTTACAGATAATTGTATGTGTGGGGTACAGAGATTGGGTAGTCATTCAAAAATCATGTTAACTCCTTTATTATTGCACACAGAGTGAGTCCATGCAACTTATTATAAGATTTGTTAAGCACACTCCTGAAATTATTTAGGCTTGCCATAACTAAGTGGGTGAATACTTACAGTGGGGAAAAAAAGTATTTAGTCAGCCACCAATTGTGCAAGTTCTCCCACTTAAAAAGATGAGAGAGGCCTGTAATTTTCATCATAGGTACACGTCAACTATGACAGACAAATTGAGAGAAAAAAAATCCAGAAAATCACATTGTAGGATTTTTAATGAATTTATTTGCAAATTATGGTGGAAAATAAGTATTTGGTCACCTACAAACAAGCAAGATTTCTAGCTCTCACACACCTGTAACTTCTTCCTTAAGAGGCTCCTCTGTCCTCCACTCGTTACCTGTATTAATGGCACCTGTTTGAACTTGTTATCAGTATAAAAGACACCTGTCCACAACCTCAAACAGTCACATTCCAAACTCCACTATGGCCAAGACCAAAGAGCTGTCAAAGGACACCAGAAACAAAATTGTAGACCTGCACCAGGCTGGGAAGACTGAATCTGCAATAGGTAAGCAGCTTGGTTTGAAGAAATCAACTGTGGGAGCAATTATTAGGAAATGGAAGACATACAAGACCACTGATAATCTCCCTTGATCTGGGGCTCCACGCAAGATCTCACCCTGTGGGGTCAAAATGATCACAAGAACGGTGAGCAAAAATCCCAGAACCACACGGGGGGACCTAGTGAATGACCTGCAGAGAGCTGGGACCAAAGTAACAAAGCCTACCATCAGTAACACACTACGCCGCCAGGGACTCAAATCCTGCAGTACCAGACGTGTCCCCCTGCTTAAGACAGTACATGTCCAGGCCCGTCTGAAGTTTGCTAGAGTGCATTTGGATGATCCAGAAGAGGATTGGGAGAATGTCATATGGTCAGATGAAACCAAAATATAACTTTTTGGTAAAAACTCAACTCGTCGTGTTTGGAGGACAAAGAATGCTGAGTTGTATCCAAAGAACACCATACCTACTGTGAAGCATGGGGGTGGAAACATCATGCTTTGGGGCTGTTTTTCTGCAAAGGGACCAGGACGACTGATCCGTGTAAAGGAAAGAATGAATGGGGCCATGTATCGTGAGATTTTGAGTGAAAACCTCCTTCCATCAGCAAGGGCATTGAAGATGAAACGTGGCTGGGTCTTTCAGCATGACAATGATCCCAAACACACCGCCCGGGCAACGAAGGAGTGGCTTCGTAAGAAGCATTTCAAGGTCCTGGAGTGGCCTAGCCAGTCTCCAGATCTCAACCCCATAGAAAATCTTTGGAGGGAGTTGAAAGTCTGTGTTGCCCAGCGACAGCCCCAAAACATCACTGCTCTAGAGGAGATCTGCATGAAGGAATGGGCCAAAATACCAGCAACAGTGTGTGAAAACCTTGTGAAGACTTACAGAAAACTTTGACCTGTGTCATTGCCAACAAAGGGTATATAACAAAGTATTGAGAAACTTTTGTTGTTGACCAAATACTTATTTCCCACCATAATTTGCAAATAAATGCATTAAAAATCCTACAATGTGATTTTCAGTATTTTTTTTCCTCAATTTGTCTGTCATAGTTGACGTGTACCTATGATGAAAATTACAGGCCTCTCTCATCTTTTTAAGTGGGAGAACTTGCACAATTGGTGGCTGACTAAATACTTTTTTTCCCCACTGTATATAACCAAGACCTTTTAGTTATTCATTTTGTGTTAATTTGTAAACATTTATAGAATTTTATTTTCACTTTGACATTATGCAGTATTTTGTGTAGATCAGTGAAAATAAATCACAATTAAATCCATTTCAATCCCACTTTGTAACGCATAAAAATCCAAAAGGGTGAATACATATGATCTGCACTGACATTCTACATCAAGATGTAGAAGTGTTTTCTCTAAAACTCATCTGACTTGTTGCAGATTTGGTGGGAGTCAGGATGAATTGAGCAAGGGCAGGTCAGTAGGCTTTTCTCCTACATAACTCACACCTTTACTTGTTGCAATAATATGTTCCCAGTAGGCAATATTGCTTGAAAAGACGCCATGGTCAGGTTGTAAACTTGAAAAATATGTCTTTACCTGGTTATAATCTGGTTAGCTGACGTCACTTTAACCAGAAAATTACACAATTATGACGCCCATGCCCAAATTTTGTCCACTCAGTTAATAGTTATATTAGTGTTAATAAAATGTAATTTCCCCTTTTGATGTAGCACCCTGCCTTCAACTTATGGACGTACTAGCACATCCTACACAAAAAGGTAATGTTGGAATAGAACAGAATGGTTCTGTAAGTGGATATTTAGCTGCTGTGAAAGAGATTATCTCTAAATGCTGTCTTTTGTTTGGTACAGTACCTCACCACCGAAGTCAGATTGTCTCAAGACGTAAGTGACCCTATATGATAATGAATCCCAGCTGTGCTTGTGCAATACTGAATAGTTATGTAATAAAATGTATTATCCATGAAATGTCTCATATTCAGCCTCTATTAATGTAATGTCATTACAGAACTACTGTCTCTAAAACAACAGTCACAGAGGAACCTAAGAAAACAAGGTAGATTATTAGTTTTAAATTTAAAAATGTGAGCGCCTTTATTCTCTTTCTATTTTTTTTTTTTTTTGGGGGGCAAGCTAGTCATCTTTTATGCAAGGGAGCCCTGGTCAAGTTTATTCACCACCTTTATAAACTTTTTGCAATCAAAGGTGACACAGTAACATTTTAATGTTTTGATATCCTGTTGAATTCATTCCTTCAGCACCACAACAACTACCACCACCAAAGGTGGTACAACTACTGAGACTACCATCTCCACAAGCCAGAGTGTGAGCAGGTATGGTATTCACATACGTACACCTTGTTAATCTTTACTATTCCCCATCAAAGGATGTGCACAAACATTCTTGGTTCTGTTTACAGATCCCCAGTTGTGAAATCACCCACCACCAACACTGAGAGCTTCACCGATCGGGTCTTCAGCTCAAAAAAAAGGTAAAACCACACCCTTTGAAAATAGGGGTGGCAGGTAGCCTATGGTTAGAGAGGCGAGCCAGGAACGGGAGGGTTGCCAGTTCGAATCCGGGTCTGACAGGAAAAATCTTTCGGGATGTGAGCTGGCAAAGGGTTGCTGTATCAAAATCCTAGATGCTATTTTGTGCCCTTGAGCAAGGCACTTAACCCCCCAGAACTACTACTCCATGGGTTCCCAGTGTGGCAGCCCTCTGCTCCAACCTCTCCAACCTGTATACATTGGGGAGAACAAGTATTTGATACACTGCCGATTTTGCAGGTTGTCCTACTTACAAAGCATGTAGAGGTCTGTAATTTTTATCATAGGTACACTTCAACTGTGATAGATGGAATCTAAAACAAAAATCCAGAAAATCACATTGTATGATTTTTAAGTAATTCATTTGCATTTTATTGCATGACATAAGTATTTGATCACCTACCAACCAGTAAGAATTCCGGCTCTCACAGACCTGTTAGTTTTTCTTTAAGAAGCCCTCCTGTTCTCCACTCATTACCTGTATTAACCGCACCTGTTTGAACTCGTTACCTGTATAAAAGACACCTGTCCACACACTCAATCAAACAGACTCCAACCTCTCCACAATGGCCAAGACCAGAGATCTGTGTAAGGACATCAGGGATAAAATTGTAGACCTGCACAAGGCTGGGATGGGCTACAGGACAATAGGCAAGCAGCTTGGTGAGACGGCAACAAGAAGTTCACCCTCGGTCTGGGGCTCCATGCAAGATCTCACCTCGTGGGGCATCAATGATCATGAGGAAGGTGAGGGAACAGCCCAGAACTACACGGCAGGACCTGATCAATGACCTGAAGAGAGCTGGGACCACAGTCTCAAAGAAAACCATTAGTAACACACTACGCCGTCATGGATTAATATCATGCAGCGCACGCAAGGTCCCCCTGCTTAAGCCAGCGCATGTCCAGGCCCGTCTGAAGTTTGCCAATGACCATCTGGATGATCCAGAGGAGGAATGGGAGAAGGTCATGTGGTCTGATGAGACAAAAATATAGCTTTTTGGTCTAAACTTCACTTGCCGTGTTTGGAGGAAGAAAAAGGATGAGTACAACCCCAAGAACACCATCCCAACTGTGAAGCATGTAGGTGGAAACATCATTCTTTGAGGATTCTTTTCTGCAAAGGGGACAAGACGACTGCACCGTATTGAGGGGAGGATGGATGGGGCCATGTGTCGCGAGATCTTGGCCAACAACCTCCTTCTTCCCACAGTAAGAGCATTGAAGATTGGTCGTGGCTGGGTCTTCCAGCATGACAACGACCCAAAACACACAGCCAGGGCAACGAAGGAGTGGCTCCGTAAGAAGCATCTCAAGGTCCTGGAGTGGCCTAGCCAGTCTCCAGACCTGAACCCAATAGAAAATCTTTGGAGGGAGCTGAAAGTCCGTATTGCCCAGCCACAGCCCCGAAACCTGAAGGATCTGGAGAAGGTCTGTATGGAGGAGTGGGCCAAAATCCCTGCTGCAGTGTGTGCAAACCTGGTCAAGACCTACAGGAAACGTATGGTCTCTGTAATTGCAAACAAAGGTTTGCAATTAGTTCTGCTTTTCTGATGTATCAAATACTTATGTCATGCAATAAAATGCAAATTAATTACTTAAAAATCATACAATATTATTTTCTGGATTTTTGTTTTAGATTGCATCTCTCACAGTTGAAGTGTACCTATGATAAAAATTACAGACCTCTACATGCTTTGTAAGTAGGAAAACCTGCAAAATCGGCAGTGTATCAAATACTTGTTCTCCCCACTGTATATACAGTTGAAGTCGGAAGTTTACATACACCTTAGCCAAATACATTTAAACTCAGTTTTTCACAATTCCTTACATTTAATCCTAGTAAAGATTCCCTGTCTTAGGTCAGTTAGGATCACCACTTTATTCTAAGAATGTAAAATGTCAGAATAATAGTAGAGAGAATGATTTATTTCAGCTTTTATTTCTTTCATCACATTCCCAGTGTGTCAGAAGTTTACATACACTTAATTAGTATTTGGTAGCATTGCCTTTAACTTGTTTAACTTGGGTCAAACGTTTCGGGTAGCCGTCCACAAGCTTCCCACAATAAGTTGGGTGAATTTTGGCCCATTCCTCCTCTCAGAGCTGGTGTAACTGAGTCAGGTTTGTAGGCCTCCTTGCTCGCACACACTTTTTCAGTTCTGCCCACACATTTTTTATGGGGTTGAGGTCAGGGCTTTGTGATGGCCACTCCAATACCTTGACTTTGTTGTCCTTAAGCCATTTTGCCACAACTTTGGAAGTATGCTTGGGGTCATTGTCCATTTGGAAGACCCATTTGCGACCAAGCTTTAACTTCCTGACTGATTTCTTGAGATGTTGCTTCAATATATCCACATCATTTTCCTTCCTCATGATGCCATCTATTTTGTGAAGTGCACCAGTCCCTCTTGCAGCAAAACATCCCCACAGCATGATGCTGCCACCCCCGTACTTCACGGTTGGAATGGTGTTCTTCGGCTTGCAAGCTATCCCTTTTTTTCCTCCAACCATAACGATGGTCATTATGGCCAAACAGTTCTATTGTTGTTTCATCAGACCAGAGGACATTTCTCCAAAAAATAAGATCTTTGTCCCTATGTGCAGTTGCAAACCGTAGTCTGGCTTTTATATGGAGGTTTTGGAGCAGTGACTTCATCCTTGCTGAGCGGCCTTTCAGGTTATGTCGATATAGGACTCGTTTTACTGTGGATATAGATACTTTTGTACCTGTTTCCTCCAGCATCTTCACAAGGTCTTTTGTTGTTGTTCTGGAATTTATTTGCACTTTTTGCACCAAAGTACGTTCATCTCTAGGTGTGACGAGGTGTGAATGAAGGAGCCAGGCGCAGGAAGTGAAGTCCAGAGTTTAATCCGTTTGCATAAATCAAACACCCCAAGAGTCAAACAGGGAAAACATCCACCTTGGCAATATCACAGTGAAATGTAGCTCAACCAAGCTACAAGCTCTCACAACAAACAATCACTCACAAAGACAAGGGGAACAGAGGGAACAATTATACACATACTAATTAGGGGATTGAGCACCAGGTGTGTGTGATTGACAATACATGACAAGTGGAGTGATGAGAATGGGATCGGCAGTAGCTAGTGGGGGTGTTGTCTCTGGGCCTCTCCTCTGTGTCATACAGCCGAGACAGTGCGTCTGCCTTCACGTTCTTCGTACCCGGAATGTACGAGAGTGTGAAATCAAACCAGGTGAAGAAGAGGGCCCACCTGGCCTGGCGAGGATTCAGCCTCCTCACTGCCCGAATGTACTCCAGGTTACGGTGGTGTGTCCAGACGAGGAAAGGGTGTTTCGCCCCTTCGAGCCAATGTCTCCACACCGTCAAAGCTCGGACAACAGCCAGCAGCTCCCGATCACCAATGCCATAGTTCTGCTCTGCCGAGCTGAGCTTCTTAGAAAAGAAGGCACGGGACAGCTCCTATCCCTACCTCGGACGCAACCACCTCCACTACGAACGGTAATGATGGATCGGGGTGAGCCAATACCGGGGCTGAGGTGAACAGACCCCGCAATCTATTGAAGGCTAAATCAGCCTCAGCAGACCAGCGGAGCCGGGACGGCCCACCCTTCAACAAGGAGGTAATGGGAGCTGCGACCTTGCCAAAGCCCCGAATACACTTTTGATAGTAGTTGGCAAAGCCAAGGAAGTGCTGCACCTCCTTTACCGTGGTTGGAGTCGGCCAATTACGCACGGCTGCAATGCGATCTCCCTCTATCTCCACACCTGTGGTGGTAATGCGATATCCGAGGAAGGAGATTTACTGCTGGAAAAACTCACACTTCTCTGCCTTGGCATAAAGATAATTTTCCAGCAGTCGGACCAGTACTTTGCGAACCAGGGACACATGCTCGGCGCGCGTAGCGGAATACACCAGGATGTCATTGGTGTAGACCACCACACCACGACCAAGCATGTCCCGAAACACCTCGTTCACAAAGGACTGGAAAACGGATGGAGCATTCATCAAACTGTAGGGCATCACCGGGTATTCATAATGCCCCGAGGTTGTGCTGAATGCTGTTTTCCACTCATCCCCTTCCAGAATATGCACCAGGTTGTAGGCACTCCTGAGGTCTAATTTGGTGAAAAAACGGGCCCCATGCTTTGACTCATCTCAATCACTGAAGGAATGAGGGGAAGACGATAACTAAATCGTACCATCACATTATTCAGTGGTTGATAATCAATGCACGGGCGTAAACTGCCATTTTTCTTCTTCACAAAGAAGAAACTTGAGGAGGCAGGTGAAGTGGAGGGATGTATATACCCCTGGCGCAGGGACTCGGTGATGTATATTTCCATAGCCTCCGTTTCAGCCTGCGACAGGGGATACACATGACTCCTGGGAGGTACATGGTCTACCCGAAGGTTTATCGCGCAATACCCCTCCCGATGAGGTGGTAATTTAGTCGCTTGCGTCTTGGAAAACGTGAGCGCCAGATCATGGTATTCGGGGGTCAGTCTGGGGGTACGGTGGGGGTACCGTCTGGACTTTCCACCGTGGTCGCACCAACGGAAACACCTAGACACCTACCCGGACACTCACGCGACCACCCCGTAAGAACCCTCTGTGGCCATGAAAAATTGGGGTTGTGAAGGGCTAACCACGGGATACCCAAGACTTCAGGGTAAGCAGGATACTCAATAATCATAAAGGTGATCTGCTCAACATGCGTCTCCTGCGTAATCATGGTGACTGGTACCGTAACTTCCTTAACAAACACTGACCCTAATGGTTGACTATTAAGTGCTCTGATGGGGAGTGGAATGGTTAGGGGAACCAATGAAATGCCTTGGCGGTGTGCAAATGCCCTGTCCATAAAATTCCCAGCTGCGCCTGAATCGACTAGCGCCTTACACTGGGAACCTACCAAGTGATCGGGAAAGGAGATAGATAAAGTACAGTGCGCCGCAAAGGGCTCTGAACACGTTTGGGTGTTCGTTACCTGGGGTGATGCGTGAGTACCCTGCCTACCACCTCCAGACCCGAAAGCACGTTGACTGCGACGTGAGGTGGATGGTCCCTTCGTACCACCAGAGTGGCACTGTCGCTGTCCTCCTGTGCTCTCTCAACCGGCGGCTCCCCCCTGCTCCATCTGCTCGGGGTCAGAGTCGTCCGGAGTGGGACGGGCAGACCCCTACCAGGACGTCCTCTGGCTTCTAGCAGATTGTCCAGCCAGATGGCCATGTCCACCAGTTGGGAGAACGATAGCATGGCATCCCGCCAGGCTAGCTCCCGTCGGATGTCCTCCCTTAGATGGCACCGGAAATGGTCGATCAGGGCCCGCTCATTCCACCCGGACCCCGCTGCCAGCGTCCGGAACTCCAGCGCGTAGTCCTGAGCGGTCCTCGTCCCCTGCCTCAGATGAACCAGTCGTTCGCCCGCCTCTCGACTCTCAGGCGGGTGATCAAAAACGGCCCGAAAGAGGCGAGCAAACTTCCCATAGTTCTCCAACGCGGTACCTCCCTCGTTCCACACGGCGTATGCCTACTCCAGGGCTCTCCCACAAAGGCAGGAAACGAGGACGGATAACTTCTCCTGCTCCCGGGGCTCCGGCCTGATGCTGGAGAAATACAACTCCAGTTGGGGTAGGAATCCCTTACATCGCGCTGCCGTCCCATCAAACGCTGGTGGCCAGGATATCTGGATCCCTCCAGGGGCTGGGGTGTAGGTGCCTGCATCGGTTGACCAGCTGGTCTCGATAGATCAGATCTTCTCCTCTCCAGCCGTTCTATCACCTGAAGAACCCGATCCATCGCTTCCCCCAAGCTGGCCAACATCGAGGAATGCTCCTGGACCCTTGCCACAACTCCAGGCATGCAGTCTTCTCCTGCTGACTCAATATCAGATCAGGTGAGTGATTCTGTGACGAGGTGTGAATGAAGAGGTCAGGCAGAAGAGGTAAAATACCGAAGTCCAGAGTTTAATCCGTTTGCATAAATCAAACGCCCCAAGCGTCAAACGAAACTATACAAGGGAAAACCTTGGCAATAACACAGTGAAATGTAGCTCAACTGAGCTACACGCTCTCACAACAAACAATCACTCACAAAGACAAGGGGAACAGAGGGAACACTTATACACATACTAATTAGGAGAATGAGCACCAGGTGAATGTGATTGACAAGACATGACAAGTGGAGTGATGAGAATGGGATCGGCAGTAGCTAGTACTCTGGTGACGACGAACACCGAAGCCTGCCCGAACCAGGAGGGGGGGCAGCCTCGGCGGAAGTCGTGACACTAGGAGACAGAATGCGTCTCCTTCCTGAGCGGTATGACGGCTGCGTGGTCCATGGTGTTTATACTTGCGTACTATTGTTTGTACAGATGAACGTGGTACCTTCTGGCGTTTTGGAAATTGCTCCCAAGGATGAAACAGACTTGTGGAGGTCTACAATATTTTTTCTGAGGTCTTGGCTGATTTCTTTTGATTTTCCCATGATGTCAAGCAAAGAGGCACCGAGTTTGAAGGTAGGCCTTGAAATACATCCACAGGTATACCTCCAATTAACAAAAAAAAAAATCTGGAATTTTCCAAGCTGTTTAAAGGCACAGTCAACTTAGTGTATGTAAACTTCTGACCCACTGGAATTGTGATACAGTGAATTATAAGTGAAATAATCTGTCTGTAAACAATTGTTGGAAAAATGACTTGTGTCATGCACAAAGTAGATTTCCTAACCAACTTGCCAAAACTATAGTTTGTTAACAAGAAATGTGTGGAGTGGTTGAAAAACAAGTTTTAATGACTCCAACCTAAGTGTATGTAAACTTCCGACTTCATCTCTGTGTGTGTCTTTCGGAGGGGTTGGAACAAGTCAAAATTTGGTTAGACCATGTGTACAATTGACGAATGAAGTAATCTTAATACAACACAGTATAAAATAATCTGTGGCCTGTACTATAAATAACCATTATGATATATATGAGAGGCTTGTGATAGGCCTGTGAGGTATTGCAGGGAGAATATGTTTACCAGCGTTGGCCCATTGACAGGCCCATTGATCATACACTCATGTTCCTGCTGCTGCTTCCCACACGGAGACAGATACACGGGCACACATACTTTTTATTTTTGCCCCCATTGGTATTTTCTTTTCCATGCTGCATCTAAGAGGATGTCTTATCACATCAGGAGTAGGCAGACTGGTGATAGAGCTGGCAGCAGGGCTGTAGACAGACATGCAACATCTGCTTGTAGAGTGAAGCTTTGAAGTACCGTTCTGTGGTGTGCCTCTCCTCACTGTTCAGTAATCTCTGACACCCAGAACTAAAATCTTGCATAATTGCGTTAGATGCATGATTAAGTTCTGGGGGAGACGTGTTAGACAAGTGAAGTACTGAAGTAGCGAACTCTCTAACGCTCTAAACAAAAACTCTCAGCCCGTTTTGGGTGAGTCTATGGGCCAAATGTCCCCTTCCGAAATCTGAAAGATGTGAGCAACTGCAAAATCATGATTTGTCCAAATGAATTACATAAGACACCCTACTCACCACCTTCAAGGCGTTACTGAGAATGTTGTTGCTGTTTGGGCTGGCTACTTAATTCATTAAAATACACTTACTTTTAAATTACAAAATATGTGTATTTTAATTAAATACATTTCAAAATATTTTTTTGTTTATTTTGGTACATTTGATCTTTAGATTTATTTATATTAATATTTTGTAATTGTATTTTGTCATTTTTGCCCATCCCTGACAACAGAAGTCAAAGTGACCACCCCCAAAGTGTAAGACCAGGCTTGACAAGGCTCATAATTACATAATAATTATCCCCCTAGAGTCTATCTAAGGAACATAATTTTAAAAATCCCCATCAAAATCTGTCAGTTTAAGCTAGAGATACTGTATCAATCTACCACATCCACCTATGGTGGCCTTCCACATCTGTGGTGGAAGGTGGCCAAGCTACAGCAGTTTTTGTCAGACCATGAGACATCCCGAAAATCGGTCTTCTCATGAAACGTCTGTAGCGTCAATGTGCCAACCTCTGTTTGTAGTGTCCGAACCGTTTGGATTACAAACTAATGGGAACCCACTGTGGAAAGGGGAGATTCTCACGAACACGATGTGTCACGGGACTCGTCTGAAGGTATCCGGTACCGGTAAAAACATTTAATGGAAGTATGGAGGTAGTTTTATGCCTAACCCCCAAAAAAGGGGTTAAATATGAGTTTATAAAAAAGTGTTAAACATATCAAAATATATTTTATATTTGAGATTCTTCAAATAGCCACACTTTGCCTTGATGACAGCTTTGCACACTCTTGGCATTTTCTCAACCAGCTTCACCTGGAATGCTTTTCCAACAGTCTTGAAGGAGTTCCCACATATGCTGAGCACTTGTTGGCTGCTTTTCCTTCACTCTGCAGTCCGACTCATCCCAAACCATCTCAATTTGGTTGAGGTCGGGGGATTGTGGAGGCCAGGTAATCTGATGCAGCACTCCATCACTCTCCTTCTTGGTAAAATAGCCCTTATACAGCCTGGAGGTGTGTTGCATCATTGCCCTGTTGAAAAACAAATGGTACTCCCACTTAGCCCAAACCATATGGGATGGCGTATCGCTGCAGAATGCTGTGGTCTGAATACTTTCCGAATGCACTGTATATACGTATGTGTGTATATATATACAGTATATATTTCCTGAGCTTTCTTATATCTCCTAGATATAGGACAGACACTCCAAAACCTTATTCCTTAAGATATTTTGCCATTTATGAATGTGTTATTAAATTTGTTTCTATGCGCTATAGTAGTAAAGGCCAAATTCAATATTTTATCAAATATTTTTTTTACCTTTCTTTATACCTAAAGGTCCTGTAATTCAAAATCAAATAGCTGAATGATCCATGGTATAACCATCTTATAACAATTCCATATATCAGCTTAGACCCCCCCCCCCCCCCACCCCCACCCCCACCCCCCCCCAGCTGTAGTAAATGGTTGTAAAAGTGACCTCTCACAGAGATGTAACAGTAACAGTAACAATTCAACAGTAACAGTAACAATGCAACAGTAACAGTAACAATGTAATGTAACTGCAATGGAAACGGGTAATGGTAGTGTTAACAGTAACATATTTTTTTTACATAGAACACCACCTTCTAAGCCAAAAGTGAGCGAGAAAACAGAAGTCAAAGTGACCACCCCCAAAGTGTATAATCAGGGTTGACAAGGCTCATAGTGACACAATAACGTAGGATGTGTAAAACACTGTAACATATGCTATACTGTATGTCTGTATAATCTACAAACAATATAATCAATACCATCCATACAGTATCCGGTTAATAATACATGAGTTACTGTTATCTGGGCAGGACTGAGGATCAGTTAGTCGATACTCTGATACCAACATCCATCACAACTGAGCACTTGATCCCGGACAGGTAAGATCTTTGTTTAAAATGTTTCTTATCAATAGATATTCACATTATTTTTAAGATTTTACAAGGTGATTAAAAAAAGTCCACATACCTACTTGATTTGGTCATGTCCACATACACCAGTGAACTAGTGTAGGAATATTGATGAATATTGGTCAACATATTGATCAATTTCTTACATGTTCCTCAAGCACGACAAGTGTCTCCAAAACAGAGACTGTGACACTGAAAACCACTAAAAAGGACAGCACTTCTGGGTCAGTTTGATCAGAGATATGCACAAACACACAATGCGAACGACTTTTGCAAAACCGTAATGAAATACTATATTTCCCTAAAAAAAACACAGATATATATATATATATATTTCCTTTTCATTCAGAGATGGCAGCAAAACTCCCCCCACGAGCCCAAGGAGGACTTCCTCAAAGTAAGCATACTGACCTCCAATTGAATGCCTTGGATTGGTCCATTATTTTCATATTCTCCCTTCTGTCAAATACATTTGATGCAAAAATCAATTTAGCTAACGACAATGACTTTGGTGTTAAAATTGTTATAACTGTGTTGACATTGAACATAATGTAATAATGTAATGCAGTTAATTACAGTATAAGTATAATCTTCACAGGACCGAGAATGACCTCTATGAAACTCTCCTGCCGACATCCATGAAGGCTTGCTACTCCTCCCCTGACAGGTAAGGTCTCCCTTAGGGAGGTGTTCATGTTATTCCAGATACTGCAGGCTACTGCACTCTGTGTTGAACTTGAAAGGTTCACTAAGAAGTCTGTTGAATCAAATACACTCCTATAGTACCTGTGTAATATAATACATGTAATTCAGTACTAGCCACAATAATCGATATTATTCAATATTGAGTCACGTGATGCTGCGAAGCAAGGCGGTTGTCTGAAAGGAGCCTCCTGATAAAACCTCCCAATTTTTACAATGCTGTTTTGGTCAATGGAGGTTTAGCCGGTTGGCTACTCAGTGACTGTATTCAAGTTGCCTGGTCAGAACTACCCTAAGAAAAGATGTCAGTAGTTGAGACTTGCACGTTCATTTAGTAAATGGTCGGACCAAGGTGCAGCGTGGTATGCGTACATGTTTAATTTATTAAATAAACACTTCACAAAATAACAAAAGAAATTAACATGAAGTTCTAAAGGCTAACAGCAACAAGCCTAAATAGAAACAAGATCCCACAACATAGGTAGGCAAAATGGCTGCCTAAGTATGATCCCCAATCAGAGACAACGATCGACAGCTGCCTCTGATTGGGAACCACACCCGGCCAACATAGAAATATATAACATAGATCAACTAGCATTCCACCCTGACCAAACTAACTAGAGAAATAACTGGGTTCTCAAGGTCAGTGTGTGACAGGACTAGGGTGATAGCTTATAAGTGTCTCGCGGACCGAGTGGGGTTTTTCTCTTCAAGTAGAAAAACAAGGGGAGAGGGGTGGGGTGGTTGTTACTGTTTTGTGTTTTGTATTGTGTTGTCAGGTTCATGGCTCATGCAAGTGTTTTTAGCACAACCAAGGTTGAGGTTGTAATATGTGACAGCATGACAGTATCGAAAATGATTGATTTTCAATATAATTCTAACACCCATTATGCAATGTTTGATAAATGTCTAAAACAAACACAAAGATAATTTCATGGAATATGAACGGTTCACAGAATCCTATTAAGAGTAAGAAATGTTTATGTTATCTCAAATCCCAACAAGCTGATATAGCTTTTATCCAAGAAACTCATTTGGTTGACTCAGAGGCTGCTAAATTGAAAAGGGATTGAGTTGGGCAGGTATTTCATAGCTAATTTTCAAGCAAAAAACATGGTGTCGCAATTTTGGTACATAGAAAGTTGAATTTTGTCATGTTAAAGCAACATAAGGATGAGGAAGAAAGAACGATTTGTGTTGAGGCTCTGGTAGATGGTAATAAGGTTCATATGTGTAATATTTATGCACCAAACAAGGAGGATCCTGGGTTTTTCCATAAGGTTAATAAGGTCATGGGAGAAATCATTGGTGGCAATACAGTGGTGGCGGGAGACTTTAACCAGGTTCAAGATGGTATCCTTGATAAAACTACTTATTCTAAAACTGTACCAAGGGACAGAGCAGCGATACACCTATTAACGAGGGATCTGGGTCTGGTAGATATGTGGAGATTTGTCAATCCTAGAGAGAAGGAATATACATTTTATTCACATAACCATAAATCTCATTCCAGGATAGATGACTTCCTAATGTCCAAGAGTATGACTAAAGATGTGATAGATTGTAAAATAGGGGTTATTGCTTTGACTGACCACGCAACAGTGGAATTATGTATAGCAGTTGAGGCTGATATGGCTAGGAAAAGCATTAGATGGAGGATGAATACGTTCTTATTCCAAGACGAAACATTTAATATTTCCCTCGATGAAGACCTTAAGTGTTTTTTTCAGACAAACATTGGTTCCACTGACAAATTTAGTATGGTGTGGGAGGCCTCTAAAGCTTATGTTAGGGGCAAAATAACAGCACACACAAGTAGAAAGAAAGGGGAAGATAGAGAAAGAGTTGAAAAACTAGTCTCAATTAAAGAGTTGGAAAATAGTTATTCAAGAAAAAGACTGAGTCACTATTGAAACAAGTCTGTTATCTGAAGTTTCAATTACATGTGATCTATAACAAAAAGGCTGAATATGCAATGTTTCGGCTGAGGACAAACTTTTAAGAAAGTGGTGAAAAAACAGGTAAATTATTGACTAGACAATTGAAACAAAAAGATGCCAGTTTTGTAATACCAGCTATCACAAATGGAAGTGGGGAGGTACTGACTGGTACAACATATATTAACAATGTGTTTTGTGACTTTTATTTGACTCTTTATAAATCTGAACGTAACTTAGACCCAGCTAAATTGAATGCCTTTTTTTCAAAGATAGAGCTTCCGGGGGTGTCCCCAGATCAAATAAAGAATTTGGATGCTCCTATACTAGAATCTGAGATAAGAACAGCCATCACCTCAATGAAGTCTGGAAAGTCATCAGGATTAGACGGCTTCCTGGTTGAGTATTATAACAGGACATATTAGCTCCTATATTAACATGAGTGTACGCAGAAGCTCTGGAACTGAAACAGCTACCTGACACTTTTAATAAGGAACTAATTTCATTAATTCTCAAGAAGGATAGAGACCCCACTGACCTAGAGAGTTTTTTGTAAGGCGCTCTCCAAAGTACTAGCCATGAGGCTGGGGAAGGTTTTATCTCATATTATTCACACAGATCAGGTGGGATTTGTAAAAAGTAGAACCTCCACAGACAATCTTAGAGGTTTGCTTCAAGTGCAAAGTTTATGTATGAAAAATATTTTTCTCGTTTTTTATAAAAAAACTTTGTATCATGTGCCTTAGTCAAAAAGAGGATACTCAGGTGGCAGCCCTTTCCCTAGATGCAGAGAAGGCATTCGATAGGGTAGAGTGGGGCTTTTTGACATATACCCTTGAAAAGTTTGGCTTTGGCACTGGATTTATCAAGTGGGTTAAGGTATTATACTCCAATCCAAGAGCAGCAGTCCTCACAAATGTTATGGTCTCTTCCTTTTTTAATTTGTCGAGGGGAACCCAGCAGGGTAGTCCTCTCTCACCCCTCCTTTTTACTCTATTTTTGGAGCCCTTGGCAGCAGCAATCAGGGCGGATTCAGGAATCAAAGAAGTGATGGGAGGTGCCAGAGAGCATAAACTGTTTTTATATGCTGACGACATATTGTTACTTATTAGAGAACCGGCCACATCAATCCCTTTTGTTTTGAACACAATCGACATGTTCTCACAGATATCTGGTTATAAGATTAATTGGCAGAAGTCAAAGGCTATGCCTGTTTCCAAATTCGGTCCTCCTGTTGCAATTACATCACAAAAGTTAAAATGGGTGCCATCAGGGATGAAATACCTGGGTATAAGACTGAGCAACGAACTACAGAATATCATGTAAATTAACATGATGCCACTTATACAAAAAATAAAGAATAATCTTGATCAATGGAGGTTGCTTAATCTTACTTTATGGGGCAAAATAAATACTGTTAAAATGGTTGTGGCACAACAGTTTAATTATGTGTCCATTATGTGTCCCCTTACTATTTAAGCAGTACAGTCAAATGATTAAGGATTATCTTTGGGATGGGAAAACCCCCAGAATAAATGTGAACAAGTTATAATGCCCCAAGGGTTAAAGGAGGACTAGCATTATCCAATGTAGAACTATACAACATATCATTTGAAGTAGACAAATTGGCCAGACACTGGGGCAATTATGATTCCATTTGGGATGGACTCAGATTGAGAGGTCTATCACATCCCCGTTAAGCCTATTGAGGCCTTATCACAAAAGATAATTCAGAGACAGCCAACTGAAGAGGCTAACCCAATCCTACAACATTCCCGAGAGGTATGGGTTAAGGTTCCTAAGATGCTTGGAATTTCCCAGTATAAACTAAAATATTCTTCCATTTGGCCCAACCCATCGGTTTACATAGGAAAACATTAATTTATCTGAGATGTATGGCTTAGACAAGGCATGCATGCACTAGTGGATCTACAGTGCCTTGCAAAAGTATTCATCCCCTTTGGCGTTTTTCCTATTATGTTGCATTACAACCTGTAATTTAAATGGATTTTTATTTAATGTGATAGACATACACAAAATAGTCCAAATTGGTGAAGTGAAATTAAAAAAATAACTTGTTAAAACTTAAATAACAGAAAAGTGGTGCGTGCATATGTATTCACCCCCTTTGCTATGAAGCCCCTAAATAAGATCTGGTGCAACCAATTACCTTCAGAAGTCACATAATTAGTTAACTAAAGTCCACCTGTGTGCAATCTAAGTGTCACATGATCTCCTGTTCTGAAAGGCCCCAGAGACTGCAACACCACTATGCAAAGGGCACCACCAAGCAAGCGGCACCATGAAGACCAAGGAGCTCTCCAAACAGGTCAGGGACAAAGTTGTGGAGAAGTACAGATCAGGGTTGAGTTATAAAAAAAGATCAACAACTTTGAACATCCCATGTAGCACCACTAAATCCGTTATTAAGAAAATGGAAAGAATATGGCACCACAACAAACCTGCCAAGAGAGGGCCGCCCACCAAAACTCACGGACCAGGCAAGGAGGGCATTAATCAGAGAGGCAACAAAGAGACCAAAGATAACCCTGAAGGAGCTGCAAATCTCCACAGTGGAGATTGGAGTGTCTGTCCATAGGACCACTTTAAGCCATACACTCCACCTGGGCTTTATGGAAAAGTGGCCAGAAAAAAGCCATTGCTTAAAGAACAAAATAAGCAAACACGTTTGGTGTTCACCAAAAGGCATGTGGGAGACTCCCCAAACATATGGAAGAAGGTACTCTGGTCAGATGAGACTAAAATTGAGCTTTTTGACATCAAGGAAAATGCTATGTCTGGCGCAAACCCAACACCTCTCATCACCGCGAGAACACCATCCCCACAGTGAAGCATGGTGGTGGCAGCATCATGCTGTGGGGATGTTTTTAATCGGCAGAGACTGGGAAACTGGTCAGAATTGAAGGAATGATGGATGGTGCTAAATACAGGGAAAATATTGAGGGAAACCTGTTTCAGTCTTCCAGAGATTTGAGACTGGGACGGAGGTTCACCTTCCAGCAGGACAATGACCCTAGACATACTGCTAAAGCAACACTTGAGTGGTTTAAGGGGAAACATTTAAATGTCGGGCAATGGCCTAGTCAAAGCCCAGTCCTCAATCCAATTGAGAATCTGTGGTATGACTTAAAGATTGCTGTACACCAGCGGAACCCATCCAACTTGAAGGAGCTGGAGCAGTTTTGCCTTGAAGAATGGGAAAAAATCCCAGCGGCTAGATGTGCCAAGCTTATAGAGACATACCCCAAGAGACTTGCAGCTGTAATTGTTGCAAAAGGTGGCTCTATAAAGTATTGACTTTGGGGGGGGTGAATAGTTATGCACGCTCAAGTTTTCAGTTTTTTTGTCTTATTTCTTGTTTGTTTCACCCCAAAAATATTTTGCATCTTCAAAGTGGTAGGTATATTGTGTAAATCAAATGATACAAACCACCCATGAAATCAATTTTAATTCCAGGTTATAAGGCAAGAAAATAGGAAAAATGCCAAAGGGGGGGTGAATACTTTCGCAAGATACTATATATGAGAAAGGAGTGCTTATGTCCTATCAGGACCTGAAGGAGAAATTTAATTTTCCAGATAAGGGACTGGAAATACTTACAACTAAGGAGCTGCATGGGGTCTCTCATGAGTATTAACCTCCAGAGAGATGAAAACTTGTTAGAACAATATTTTATGTTACCAGGAATATCACACTCTGCTTCAGTGTTTTATCAAAGAGTCTCATATGCACAATATGGAAATTGTGAGAATTTAAGGTTGATTTGGCAGAGGGATCTTAATTGTGACATATATGATTTATGGACAAATATTCTTTCCAATGTGTACCAGGGATACAAGGGGTACATTTACACATTATAAGATTGTTCATAGAGACTACTGGACCCGAGTTAGATTACATAAAATGGGTTTATTGCAATATAATTCATGCTGGAAATGCAAGAGTGAAGTAGGTACCTTTTTGCATGCTATATGGGAATGTCCCATGGTGCTCTCTTTTTGGAAGGAGGTTCTTAAAAAGCTTGAAGAATGGTTGGGACAGCCTATTCCAGAGTCCCCATAACTGTGCTTATTAGGGGATATATATTTTACCACCAGGTATTAGCAAAGAATAGTTTGGTCTTGCCTCAGTGTGTTTTCTTACTGCGGCTAGACTCATACTACGTAACTGGAAGAGCGCAGATAGTCCGAAATCAACAGATTGGCTCAAACTCATGGTGGAGACTACTTCTGATAACTCAACGATAGCGAAATTACAGGAGAGGAAAGGGAAATTGAGTATGATATGGGAACACTTTTTAAATTACAAATGGGACTGGACGTTCAGGTGAGAACATAGGGCATAAGTTAGAACAAATGAATGTGTAATGTGTTATTTTTATTTTTTATTTATTTTTATCTAAAATTATTACTTTTTTTATTATTATTATTTATTTTTATTTTCTGTTTAATATTCCAACCACTGATATATGGTTGAAAGGTGCTGTCTTGTTGGGTGTTATGTTTTTGTTGTTATTAGTGTTAAGTCATGGTGTAATTTCATATTGATAAAAAAAGTGACAAAATTGTCATTGAATAATGACAACATGTTATTCAATATTGATTTAATAATGATATGATTATTCTAGTATTCAGTATTTCAGCATCATGGACAGTTCCAAATAAAATAAAATACAAGTTTATTGGTTGTGTACACAGTTTAGCAGATGTTATAGTGGGTGCAGTGAAATGCTTATGTTACTATATCCTAATAATGCAATAAGTACACAAAAGAAAACACCCCCCAAAACTTTGAAGTCAAGAAATATCGGAACGGATCCAATTAACAACCCAAATAGCACTGTAAGAGTAATCCAAATACAATCTATTTGTACAGTTGAAGTCGGAAGTTTACATACACTTAGGTTGGAGTCATTGAAACTCATTTTTCAACCACCCCACACATATCTTGTTAACAAACTATAATTTTGGCAAGTCGGTTAGGACATCTACTCTGTGCATGACACAAGTAATCTTTCCAACAATTGTTTACAGACAAATTATTTCACTTATAATTCACTGTATCACAATTCCGGTGGGTCAATTCCGGTGGGTCAACTTACATACACTAAGTTGACTGTGCCTTTAAACAGCTTGGAAAATTCCAGAAAATTATGTCATGGCTTTAGAAGCTTCTGATAGGCTCATTTACATCATTGGTGACAATTGGAGGTGTACCTGTGGATGTATTTCAGGTCCTACCTTCAAACTCAGTGCCTCTTTGCTTGACATCATGGGAAAATCAAAAGAAATCAGCCAAGACCTCAGAAAAAAAATTGTAGACCTCCAAAAGTCTGGTTCATCCTTGGGAGCAATTTACAAACGCCTGAAGGTACCACGTTCATCTGTACAAACAATAGTACGCAAGTATAAACACCATGGGACCATGAAGCCGTCATACCGCTCAGGAAGGAGACACGTTCTGTCTCCTAGAGATGAACGTACTTTGGTGCGAAAATTGCAAATAAATTCCAGAACAACAGCAAAGGACTTGTGAAGATCTGAAGTACCTATATCCACAGTAAAACGAGCTCAGCAAGGAAGAAGCCACTGCTCCAAAACCGCCATAAAAAATCCAGACTACGGTTTGCATCTGCACAAGGGGACAAATATTGTACTTTTTGGAGAAATGTCCTCTGGTCTGAAGAAAGAAAATAGAACTGTTTGGCCATAATGACCATTGTTATGTTTGGAGGAAAAAGCGGGGCGCTTGCAAGCCGTAGAACACCATCCCAACCGTGAAGCACGGGGGTGGCAGCATCATTTTTGTAAGTCACTCTGGATAAGAGCGTCTGCTAAATGACGTAAATGTAAATGTAATCATGCTGTGGGGTTGCTTTGCTGCAGGAGGGACTGGTGCACTTCACAAAATAGATGGCACCATGATGAAGGAAAATTATGTGGATATATATCAGTCAGGAAGTTAAAGCTTGGTCGCAAATGGGTCTTCCAAATGGACAATGACCCTTCCAAAGTTGTGTCAAAATGGCTTAAGGACAACAAAGTGAAGATATTGGAGTGGCCATCACAAAGCCATGACCTCAATGCTATAGAAAATGTGTGGGCAGAACTGAAAAAGCGTGTGTGAGCAAGGAGGCCTACAAACCTGACTCAGTTACACCAGCTCTGTCAGGGGGAAATTCACCCAACTTATTGTGGGAAGCTTGTGGAAGGCTACCCGAAACGTTTGACCCAAGTTAAACAATTTAAAGGCAATGCTACCAAATACGAATTGAGTGTTTGTAAACTTCTGACCCACTGGGAATGTGATGAAAGAAATAAAAGCTGAAATAAATCATTCTCTCTACTATTATTCTGACATTTCACATTCTTAAAATAAAGTGGTGATCCTAACTGACCTAAAACAGGGAATTCTTACTAGGATTAAATGTCAGGAATTGTGAAAAACTGAGTTTAAATGTATTTGGCTAAGGTGTATGTAAACTTCTGACTTCAACTGTATATAAACCGTCTAAATTTACACAAGACATGTACAGCAGTTGATATATTAGAGTGAGCTATGTCAATAATTCAGTATATAAATAAATATGCGGTGTGTATAAACACTTTAACTAATATGAATGAAATATTAATATTTCTACTAATGTACAGTAGTAGAAATATTAAAAAATAGCCATGTTGAGAATACAGTATTTAAATACACCGTACAAAAGCCCATGGAAAAATGGATAGAATTGCAAGAAATTAGCTTCTGGACCAGAGTCTGGAATATACTGTAAATATATATGTAGTCCCGTGTAGCTCAGTTGGTAGAGCATGCTCAGGGTTGTGGGTTAGATTCCCACGGGGGGCCAGTATGAAAAAAAGAAAATGTATGCGCTCACTAACTGTAAGTCGCTCTGGATAAGAGTGTCTGCTAAATGACTAAAATGTAAATGTAGTGAATGGCGGGGATAGACAGTATGGACAGTATGTGAATAGAAAAGGTGTACAGTAGTTATATACAGTAGGATGAGCCATTTCTAGAATGCAGTATAATACATATAAAGTGGGTAAAACAGTATTTAAATATTATTAAAGCTAAACATTATTATCATCCGAACACTCAAGCGTTCCACAGTATATAACATTTCTGATCATAAAAATGTATTTCATCATGTGATATTTGTTGATCAACTCAAACTGAGCATATTATTTCCATTGTTTATAATTACAGCACTACAACCATCACCAAGAAAGAAGTTGTCACTGTGGACAGCCCCAAAGGGTACGTTTTATTGATCTAATAAAATCGATTGGAACTTTTGAGCAAAATACTCAACATTAGTAACGGTTCATTATCTGTGTGTGAGGTTAGTAGCCAAAATGTATCCTATTTTCTCTCCTTTTAGGGATGTCAAAACTGTGAAATCTCCGACCTCTACAACTAAGACCATCACTAGGTAAACATAATAACCTCTACACAAGAACCAGTATATAATCGTTAATTATGATATATTCTTCTTCAACAATATTGGATTTACAACTTATATGATCAACAGTTATTGTCCTTCATGCAACATAACTATAGCTTTCCAGCAATTGCATATTGGACTGATAGTTGACATCAAATTATAACATTTCTGTTGTCATTTTGGTCAGATTTCAAAATAACACAGCCATCTTCCTTAAACGTATCGCATTCTCTGTCTCCCATTCCAACCAGCTACAGTTCCTACAGTAGTAGTGACGACGTCTCCTCTACCAAGTCCTCTTCCTACTCCATCAGCTCCAAGCCAAGGTAATGGTTGTAGAATGGGGTACTACATAATGCGCTGTACAATGGCCTCCGCCGAATATATGGGCATGTTCGAGAACATAACATTTGTGATGTGGGTAAATGCCCACCGGGTAAAAACTGGTTCAATCAACGTTATTTCCATCCCATTTCAACCCCCCTAATCTATGTGATGACATTGAGTCCATGTGGAAAACTCATTGGATTTGCAAAAACTCATCAACGTAAGGGCATTTCAGGTTTTTCCACCTAACTTTTGACCTAAATCCAATGACATGACAGTGTTTTGTTGATTTCACGTTGAATTCACAATAGTTGACAACTCAACCAAATTTCAATCAAAATTAGAAGTTGAACTGACGTCTACGGCCAGTGGGTGGTGTCAGACTGACTGATCTACAAATAATAATAAGTAGTTTTTAAAGATGAAAGGTGATTGGACTGGAAATGACTGGAAATCAGTAAGTCTGCTGTCACAGACTACAATGCAATAATCTCGAACACAACCTACGTTTTTCTCTCAATAGAGAGAAAAACCATCAGAGATGGGTTTCACAGCACATAAATACTCACATGACTTTGAAAATAACCTACAATCCCACCCTGTTTCCACACACAGTGAGGACTACACCTCAACCAACACCCGTAGAAGCTACTCCAGCAAGCCAGACAACAGGTATGTAATGGCGTTTAAATTAAATCAAATCAAATCAAATCAAATTTTATTGGTCACATGCGCCGAATACAACAGGTGCAGACATTACAGTGAAATGCTTACTTACAGCCCTTAACCAACAGTGCATTTATTTTAAACAAAAAAAGTAAAAATAAAACAACAACAAAAAAAGTGTTGAGAAAAAAAAGAGCAGAAGTAAAATAAAGTGACAGTAGGGAGGCTATATATACAGGGGGGTATCGTTGCAGAGTCAATGTGCGGGGGCACCGGCTAGTTGAGGTAGTTGAGGTAATATGTATATGTGGGTAGAGTTAAAGTGACTATGCATAAATACTTAACAGAGTAGCAGCAGCGTAAAAGGATGGGGTGGGGGGGCAGTGCAAATAGTCCGGGTAGCCATGATTAGCTGTTCAGGAGTCTTATGGCTTGGGGGTAGAAGCTGTTGAGAAGTCTTTTGGACCTAGACTTGGCACTCCGGTACCGCTTGCCGTGCGGTAGCAGAGAGAACAGTCTATGACTAGGGTGGCTGGAGTCTTTGACAATTTTGAGGGCCTTCCTCTGACACCGCCTGGTATAGAGGTCCTGGATGGCAGGAAGCTTTGCCCCAGTGATGTACTGGGCCGTACGCACTACCCTCTGTAGTGCCTTGCGGTCGGAGGCCAAGCAGTTGCCATACCAGGCGGTGATGCAACCAGTCAGGATGCTCTCGATGGTGCAGCTGTAGAATTTTTTGAGGATCTGAGGACCCATGCCAAATCTTTTTAGTCTCCTGAGGGGGAATAGGCTTTGTCGTGCCCTCTTCACGACTGTCTTGGTGTGTTTGGACCATGATAGTTCGTTGGTGATGTGGACACCAAGGAACTTGAAGCTCTCAACCTGTTCCACTACAGCCCCGTCGATGAGAATGGGGGCGTGCTCAGTCCTCTTTTTTTTCCTGTAGTCCACAATCATCTCCTTTGTCTTGGTCACGTTGAGGGAGAGGTTGTTGTCCTGGCACCACACGGCCAGATCTCTGACCTCCTCCCTATAGGCTGTCTCATCGTTGTCGGTGATCAGGCCTACCACTGTTGTGTCGTCGGCAAACTTAATGATGGTGTTGGAGTCGTGCCTGGCCATGCAGTCATGGGTGAACAGAGAGTACAGGAGGGGACTGAGCACGCACCCCTGAGGGGCCCCCGTGTTGAGGATCAGTGTGGCAGATGTGTTGTTACCTACCCTTACCACCTGGGGGCGGCCCGTCAGGAAATCCAGGATCCAGTTGCAGAGGGAGGTGTTTAGTCCCAGGATCCTTAGCTTAGTGATGAGCTTAGAGGGCACTATGGTGTTGAATGCTGAGCTGTAGTCAATGAATAGCATTCTCACATAGGTGTTCCTCTTGTCCAGGTGGGAAAGGGCAGTGTGGAGTGCAATAGAGATTGCATCATCTGTGGATCTGTTGGGGCGGTATGCAAATTGGAGTGGGTCTAGGGTTTCTGGGATAATGCTGTTGATGTGGGCCATGACCAGCCTTTCAAAGCACTTCATGGCTACAGACGTCAGTGCTACGGGTCGGTAGTCATTTAGGCAGGTTATCTTAGAGTCCTTGGGCACGGGGACTATGGTGGTCTGCTTGAAACATGTTGGTATTACAGACTCAGTCAGGGACATGTTGAAAATGTCAGTGAAGACACTTGCCAGATGGTCAGCACATGCTCGGAGTACACGTCCTGGTAATCCGTCTGGCCCTGCGGCCTTGTGAATGTTGACCTGCTTAAAAGTCTTACTCACATCGGCTACGGAGAGCGTGATCACATAGTCATCCGGAACAGCTGGTGCTCTCATGCATGCTTCAGTGTTGCTTGCCTCGAAGCGAGCATAGAAGTGGTTTAGCTCGTCTGGTAGGTTTGTGTCACTGGGCAACTCGCTGCTGTGCTTCCCTTTGTAGTCTGTAATAGTTTTCAAGCCCTGCCACATCCGACGAGCGTCAGAGCCAGTGTAGTACGATTCAATCTTAGACCTGTATTGACTCTTTGCCTGTTTGATGGTTCGTCGGAGGTCATAGCGGGATTTCTTATAAGCGTCCGGGTTAGAGTCCCGTTCCTTGAAAGCGGCAGCTCTACCCTTTAGCTCAGTGCGGATGTTTCCTGTAATCCATGGCTTCTGGTTGGGGTATGTACGTACGGTCGCTGTGGGGATGACATCATCGATGCACTTATTGATGAAGCCAGTGACTGATGTGGTGTACTCCTCAATGCTGTCTGAAGAATCCCGGAACATGTTCCAGTCTGTGCTAGCAAAACAGTCCTGTAGCTTAGCATCTGCGTCATCTGACCACTTTTTTATTAACCGAGTCACTGGTGCTTCCTGCTTTAGTTTTTTCTTATAAGCAGGAATCAGGAGGATAGAGTTATGGTCAGATTTGCCAAATGGAGGGCGAGGGAGAGCTTTGTATGCGTCTCTGTGTGTGGAGTAAAGGTGGTCTAGAGTTTTTTTCCCTCTGGTTGCACATTTAACAAGCTGGTAGAAATTAGGTAGAACGGATTTAAGTTTCCCTGCATTAAAGTCCCCGGCCACTAGGAGCGCTGCATCTGGATGAGCGTTTTCCTGTTGATTAATGGCCTTGTACAACTCATTCAGTGCAATCTTAATGCCAGCATTGGTTTTTGGTGGTAAATAGACAGCTATGAAAAATATAGATGAAAACTCTCTTGGTAAATAGTGTGGTCTACAGCTTATCATAAGATACTCTACCTCAGGCGAGCAAAACCTCGAGACTTCCTTAGTATTTGATTTTGTGCACCAGCTGTTGTTTACAAATATACACAGACCGCCACCCCTTGTCTTACTGGAGTCAGCCGTTCTGTCCTGCCGATGTAGCGTATAGCCTGCTAGCTGAATGTTATCATTGTCGTCGTTCAGCCACGACTCGGTGAAACATAAGATATTACAGTTTTTAATGTCCCGTTGGTAGGATAACCGTAATCTTAAGTCGTCCACTTTATTTTCAAAAGATTGAACGTTGGCTAATAGGATTGATGGAAGAGGCAGTTTACTCGCTCGCCGTCGGATCCTTACAAGGCACCCCGATCTGCGTCCACGATATCTCTGTCTCTTCCTCACGCGAATGACGGGGATTTGGGCCTTGTCGGGTGTCTGTATGATATCCTTCGCGGCCGCCTCGTTGAAGAAAAAATCTTCGTCCAATACGAGGTGAGTAATCGCTGTCCTGATATCCAGAAGCTCTTTTTGGTTATAAGAGACGATGGCAGAAACATTATGTACAAAATAAATTACAAATAACGCGGAAAAACACACATAATAGTACAATTGGTTAGAGGGCTGTAAAACGGCAGCCATCTTCTCCGGCGCTGTTTTCTATATCTGATGAATTGTATATATTGGTTGGGAAATTATAAATGGCATCATGCCTGGGATTATATATACATATATACATATTTTCGAAGCCAATGCCACTCACAAGGCAGGCAATAATACGCTTGACCTCATCTTTACTAGAGGCTGTTCGACTACTAATCTCACTACAACCCCCCTCCAGGTCTCTGATCACTACTTTGTTTCTTTTTCTGTCTCCCTCTCCTCCAACCCTAGCCACTCAGCCCCTACCCAGATGCTAATGCGCGTTGCAATCTTCGATCTCTCCCTACCACTACTCTCTCATTTTCTATTCTATCATCTCTCCCTTCTGCTAAATCATTCTCCCTCCTGTCTCCTGATTCTGCCTCTTCGACACTACTCTCCTCCTAATCCGCATCCTATGACTCACACTGTCCTCCTCCAGGCTTGCTCGGCCCTCCCCTCCTGCTCCGTGGCTGAGTGACTCATTGCGAGTTTACAGAAAAAGGCTGCGGGCAGCTGAGTGGAAATTGAGGAAAACTAAACTTCCAGAGGACCTATCATCCTTTCACTTCCTCCTCTCTACCTTCTCTTCCTCTGTATCCGCTGCTAAAGCCACTTTCTATCACTCTAAATTTCAAGCTTCTGCCTCTAACCCTATGAAACTATTTTCCAGCTTCTCCTCACTCCTATATCCTCCACCCACTCCCCCTTCCTTTCTGCAGACAACTTTTCAACCACTTTGAAATGAAGGTTGACGAAATACGATCCTCATTCACTCAGCCTATTGAGTCCACTGTTCCCACTCACACAGAACTACCCTACGCCTTGACCTCTTTCTCCCCTCTCTCTCCAGATGAAATCCTGCAACTAGTGAGGCCCGGCCGCCTGACAACATGCCTGCTCAACCCCATCCCCTCCTCCCTTCTTCAGACCATCTCTGGAGACCTTCTCCCATTCCTCACTTTCCTCATCAACTCATTGTTGTACCTCTCAACTCATCTTTATACCCCTCTTCAAAATGGCCCGATTCACTCCACTCCTCAAGAAACTAACCCTCAACTCATCCCTTCTTTCTTTTCTTTCCAAAACACTTGAGCACGTTGTCTCTGACCAACTCTCTCGCTATCTCTCTCAGAACGGTCTTCTTAACCCTAACCAGTTATGCTTCAAGATGGGTCACTCAACCGAGACTGCTCTTCTCTGTGTTACGGAGGCTCTCCGCACTGGCAAAGCTGACTCTCTGTTCTCATCCTCCTAGATCTATCCGCTGCCTTCGACACCGGGCTGTGCGTTTCAGGCTCTGCACACTATTGGATTGCATCCTACCTGGCAGGCAGCTCCTACTAGGTGACGTGGAGAGGATCTGTGTCTCACGTACTCTCACTACTGGTGTCCCCCAGGGCTCAGTTCTAGGCCCTCTCCTCTTGTCTCTGTACACCAAGTCACTGCCTCCGTCATATCCTCAAATGGTCTCTCCTATCATTGCTATGCAGATGGCACTCAACTACTTTTCTCCTTCCCCCCTTATGAGACACAGGTGGCGACATGCATCTCTGCGTGCCTGGCAGATATCTCAGCTTGGATATTGGCCCACCATCTCAAGCTCAACCTCAACCTGCCCGCTCAAAGACCTCTCATTACTGTTGACAACTCCACAGTGTCCCCCTCCCAAAGTGCAAAAAGAACCTTGGCGTTCAGGAAGCGGTTCAGGTCCTAATCCAGGCAATTGTCCAGGCACTTGTCATCTCTCGTCTGGACTACTGCAACTCGCTGTTCGCTGGGCTCCACGCTTGTGCCATCAAACCCCTACAATTTATACAGAATGCTGCAGCTCACCTGGTGTTCAACCTTCCCAAGTTCTCCCATGTCACCCTGCTCCTCTTCACACTCCACTGGCTTCTATTCGAAGCTCGCATCCACTACAAGACCATAGTACTTGTCTACGGAGCAGCAAGAGGGACTGCCCCTCCCTAACTTCAGGCTATGCTCAAACCCTATACCCCAACCCGAGCACTCCGTTCTGCCACCTCTGGTCTCTTGGCCCTCCCACCCCTATGGGAGGGCAGCTCCCGCTCAGCCCAGTCCAAGCTCTTCTCTGTCCTGGCAGCCCAATGGTGGAACCAGCTTCTCCCTGAAGCTAGGAAAGCAGAGTCCCTGCCCATCTTTTGAAAAACATCTGAAACCCTACCTTTTCAAAAAGTATCTTATATAATTAATATTAGCAACATTTGAAATATATGTTTTGATAGAACAAAGCATCAGCTACTACACCATGTAAAGGAACAACCTCCTAATTCTTATTTTCTTTCATAAAATGCACCTAACTGGATTTATGTCAACTCCGTCAGACACCACCAAAGGCATTACATTTTATATTTATTGTCCAACAAGTGTTTAAAGGCCTTGATTATTTAATTCTAACATTAGATTAATCACATATGTAATACACATTTTAAAACATATTTTTGTTTAGTTTCATAGCACTATATAATGCTCCAGGGCTAATTTTGTTAGCATTTAGGAATGTTTTTCTAGATTCAAAACATAAAACAACATTTAGAAGCCAAACATTATTGCTTAGATGTAGCACAGCAAATACCTCAATAGTTTAAGTATATGTTGCAGAATTGTGATAAAAATATTTGTTTCTGAATATTGACGCAAAAATGTATCTTAAGGTGGTTAGCCATCAGTGTCAGAGTTGACAAACCATTGACAGAGTTGACAACAAATACTCAAAACAGACATATTTTTGCCTCTAAAAATAAAACTTCAATATAGAAAGTTATATATTTTAAAATCCCCAGATCTTTCAGCATTGTGACGTTAGACAAAAATCTGACGGAGTTAATGTTTTACTGAGTTTTTCTACTTCATTCAAGTGGTCGTTTTTCCTCAGTTGTTTATGATTCTAAAACCTAATTATAATAAACATATTTGAACCAAAATGAATATCCTATCAGGGAGATGGAGTTTAATAATTCATGATTGTGACCATGGTGATTTCAATATTGGTGTTGACCCTGCTCATTTCTGATAAATTTGGATTTTAGACAAATCTGACGGAGTTGACCAAATCTCCAGACAAATTATTTAGGAATCAGTTTTGAGATAAATATTATTTAAAGTCAGAGAGGGCTATTGCAAGAAACAACATAATATCATTTGGAAATTAATAATATTGAAAATATTTAGAAAATTCTAATAAATCTTTCCCCTTATAAAATGTATAATGGAACAAAAGGATTGTCCGGACTTTCAAGAATCCCGTCATCTCCTATGTCATGATCATCATGCTCTCAAACTGTGCTATTTATATCCATGTTTTCCTCTATGACTGTGCACAGGAGGAAGACATCACATGTACAAACAAAAACATTTATTTTATTGTTATTATTCCATATAACATAGTTGTAACAGACCTATAACATTGTTAGAACATATAACATCTAGCCACAAATAAAATGGTGGTGATGGTTTTGATAAAATAACTCCCGTAGCTGATTCTGTCTGGCTGTACATGAAGTCCATGCATGCTCTTCTAGGACTGTTTTGGAGAGAGACCTGTGCTCTTATTGCCGTAAGCCCATGAGTTCCGACCCCAAGATGGTGCTGGAGGATATGAAGATCAACTGCCACACTACCTGCTTCAAGGTAAACACTATTGAAATATTGAAATATTAACACTATAATCTAATATTTGAGTGTCTGTGCCTGAGTGTGCATACAGAGGCTTGTCTTCTTATCAGATCTGCAATATTCTGGGGCGGCAGGTAGCTTAGTGGGTAAGAGCGTTGTGCCAGTAACCGAAAGGTCGCTGGTTCTAATCGACGTGCACTTAAGCAAGGCACTCCTTGTAAGTCGCTCTGGATAAGAGCGTCTGCTAAATGACTAAAATGTATTGTGACATAAATATGTTACATTTGCACCACTAGATCCAATAATTGATTGAATTACATTCAACCATCTTCTCATTGAGATTATCGGACTCTGTGTCTGCCTTGAGATGTAACAATCAATACACATGCATCATGATCTTCTTCTTCGTCTAATGAGAGTATCTGTCTCTGTGTCCCCAGTGTGAGGTGTGTAGCAGTCCCCTGGGCCATCTCAAGGCTGGGGACAGTATGTGGGTCTACAGACGCACCGTCCACTGTGAGCGCTGCTTCGAAGTCACCAGAGGTAAACACATTTAGAAACACACACAGAACTAGAGCTCATACTGATGATTTACTGAATCAATATTTCACAAATGATGGGTCAGGATTTATTGGGTTTCAATTGGTTTGCTTAATTTTGGGGGCATAAAATCTCCAAACCTATGTTGGGTCACTGTGAGGTAACGCATAATTTTTTGTTACAGAAAAATGGCATCGTTGAACCTCCAAAGTTCACGCGGATGAAGATGGGGTCTTTATTCTATGGCCGTTTAAACAGATTGAAGTTTTTGAATTACATTTTGGTGACATGGGTCCTCCTTATATAGGTACGGAAATGTATAGATGTTGAAAAATAGCATATTTTTCAGATTTCATACCTTTCTTGTGTTTTTAAATGGAGTGGATGTTAATCGTCTACATAAAAACTGCATTGACAATTCATGGTTTAATACATTAATATACTATATGGAATATGTAAGCATGTTGTTGTTTTTTTATCTCTATGTTCTTTTTACTTTGAGTAGCCTATAATCATGATAGCTTAAACATCCACAGTAAAATGCATGTAAGCCAACAAACATTTTTCTAACCTGTCTCAGCCAGCTGTTTGTCTCCATAATCAACTTATTTCACAGGCATTCAGGCTACCAAAATAGGCCTACTGTAAGATATCCATATGGTGCAATAATTAGGGCCAGGGGATAGTTGTGAGTACTATACAAAACTATTAATATAATAATGAAGTTACACAAAACAGTTTGATGTTTTCTTTCAAGTACAGTATTTGAATGCATTTTGAGGAAATATACCGTTCAGTACAAAGCGTCACGCAACCTAGCAAATGTTAAAGTGAACTCAACGCCCCCCAAAGCATGGGCCAAATGTCCCCTCCCCTTCTGAAATGTTAAAGAAATGTATTGGTCGCGTTGCACTGCTTTGAAGTTGCCAGATCTTACAACGCCTGGACATGTATTTTACCTATCAGCTAACCACAACATACAGTATGTTATAGCAATATGTCAGTCGATGACACAGTTGATGTCGTGGCACGCAACCATTGGTTGATGCATGCAACGTCTAAGCAGTGGAATGCGACCATCATCTGTGATATAATGATTTGTCCAAATGATCAGTGACTAAAAAATCTGCGCACCGGGACAAAATTCCTGGTTAGTCGTCACATCCCACAGCCTGTTGACAGATTCTACCATAGCGTCCTATGTTAGGTGCATCTCTCCATGAAAGATTAATTCAACCCCTACTGCTGTGCTTTATATGGACCAGATGAGGAGGAGACAAGGGGACTGATGCTTGCTGGTCACACACTGTTTTGAAGCCACAATATATTTTAGAAGCTATAGAAATGCATAATTAATGTCTACATTCATTTTTGCCAAGTGTATTCTATTAAAGACACCTTAATGCATACTTATTAATATATTATGTGAACTAAACATAAAAAAATATACATATACAAAAACATATTCCTTAAAGCTGGAATCCGCATTAGGGGTAACAGGGCCACTGTACGCTTTAGCTCATTTGTAATTGTTCTGGTTTTGTTTATGAAATGGAGGAGAGGAGCATCCAGCGTCGTGGTAAAAATAGTATTTGCATTACACATTCTATCGCGCGTGCAATGATGTGCAATGATTTCCGAGGGGGAAAAAAACGTTGCTTCATTTTTTAAAGTAATTTCTATTTTGTTGTAATATCGCAACGGATGTGGCAGTTTCACCATTACTGATTCCAGCTTTAAAGTATATATATATTTTTTGTACTTATGTTATTGTCCCCACCAATAAAAAGTAAAATAAATGTAATTTTGTCCTTCAAACATTTTATTTAAATACTGTCGAATTCCATGAATTGGTACTCCTTCTGTGGAGTACCAATACGGCGGCCGGTGGCTGCAAAGCCTCTCATTGGCCAATACACACCATCAGCAGTCCAGGGATTATATACATAATTGGTGTAGACCTGTACGCAGCATCACTATGAAGCACGTCTTTAAAGTGGGCTGACCCTGCAATGTGCTGACATTAGTGCAGAAGAACTACAATGTTTTTTTAGAGAAGGGGTTCCAGCCTACAAGGTCAACGGCCTGGTGTAGGATCTGTTAGGGCCAAATTAGTGGGAAGGGGGTGGTGGGTTTGTTGGGGATAGTGGTATAGATCTAGGGTTAGATGCTGTTGCAATTTATCCCCCCCCCATTTCCCTTTTCCCTTTTTGTGAATAAAATGTGCAATACACTTTCCGAACTGTGAAAGGCAGCAATACACAGTAAAGTCAATCTATCCTGCAAATGAAAATCCTCAGTCAAGCCATCTGCGCTATAGAATTTGCATGGGCGCATGCACTGCACATTATGGTATCACGCGGAATAGCCTATGCTTGACAGTGAGAGATGCTCCGATCTCTGAACTAAACAGATTTAGTGTCGCCAGTGAACTGTGTGATGATGATGTGATATTTAATTTTACTTATTTATTTAACCTTTATTTAACTAGGCAAGTCAGTTAAGAACAAATTCTTATTTACAATGACGGCCTACCAAAAGGCAAAAGGCCTCCTGTGGGGACGGGGGCTGAGATTAAATATAAAAAGATAGGACAAAACACACATCACGACAAGAGAGACACCACAACACTACATAAAGAGAGACCTAAGACAACAACATAGCATGGCAGCAACACATGACAACACAGCATGGTAGCAACACCACATGACTACAACATGGTAGCAACACAACATGGCAGCAGCACAACATGATAGCAGCACAAAACATGGTACAAACATTATCGGGCACAGACACAGCACAAAGGCAAGAAGGTAGAGACAAATGTCCGTAAGAGTGTCCATGATTGAGTCTTTGAATGAAGAGATGGAGATAAAACTGTCCAGTTTGAGTGTTTTTTGCAGCTCGTTCCAGTCGCTAACTGCAGCGAACTGAAAAGAAGAGCGACCCAGGGATGTCTGTGCCTTGGGGACTTTTAATAGAATGTGACTGGCAGAACAGTGTTAGGCCTACTGCTGCTAGGTAGCTCTCTCTCTGCTCTCCCCCTCCCCTCTGTCTGTCCTTGATTGCAGGAGTGAAGTCTGGTGTGCGGGAGTCAGGGTTCCAGCTGCAGCTCATTCACCATAATCACCTCAGCCTTTAAGACCCGGTCAAACTTACCACTCATCGTCAGATCATAGTCAAGACGACCATGTTAGTCTCGCTGCCGACTCAACCTGTTTGTTTTCGCTCTTTGTGTTTTTTGCCTGTTCTATTTACTTTTCTCCTGTGCCACAGATTATTGGAACCTGACTCCTGCCTCCGCTTCACTCCTGCCACCACCATCCTGCTTTCCACTACCGGACCTCCCTTTTGGACTCACCACGGACACTAGGACATTACGGTACCACACCTGCCCTGACCTGGATCTGTTACCCTCCCTGTAACCTGGACTTGCTCTTCCCCTATTATTGGAAACCTGGACTAATTGAACATTGTAAATAAACCTTCTCTGGCTTGGTGTAGTTGTCTGCATTTGGGTTCAAATCCAGTTCAATCATGACAGTATGATCTGACCAACATGAACCCAGCAGACAGTAGCTCGGATACCACCCCAGAGTGCACTCCAATTCGGACTGCCATAGCCAATCAGGGCATTTTACTTGGCCAACATGATACCCTGTTTAAGACTATTGCTGAGAACAGTCAGGTGCTGCTTAATCAGGTTCAATTACTCACCAATCAAGTGTCTGCCCTTTCTACCCAAGTTAATAATGCACCCCTCGGGCATGGCATACAAACTGCTCCTTCTCCTGCTCCACCTGTTTTTCCTACCCCTTCAGCCCAGATCAGAGAGCCTTTTGTTCCTGCTCCAGAGCGCTATGACGGGAACATGGGAACCTGTGGCGATTTTTTGACTCAATGCTCGTTAGTGTTTGAACAACAGCCCCTCACCTACGCCTCAGAAAGAGCCCGTATTGCCTACCTTATAAACTCTACTAGCGGTTCCGCTCGTGCCTGGGGATCCGCGGTCTGGGAGAGTCAGTCGGACATTTGCAACGCTTACGTTGCCTTCACCACTGAGATGAGGAAGGTTTTTGACCACCCCGTACGGGGCAAGGAGGCTGCGAAACGGTTGTTTTCTCTTCGGCAGGGGGCTCGCAGTGTGGCGGAGATGGCAGTGGAGTTTCGGACTTTAGCGGCAGTGAGTGGTTGGAATGACGAGGCATTACAAGGAGTGTTCATCAATGCTTTGTCTGAGACTTTAAAAGATGAATTGGTGTCATATGATGAATCGCCTACGCTGGATAATCTTATTTCACTCACCATCAGGTTGGATAATCGGATTCGGGAGCGCCGCCGGGAGAGGAGTGTTAGTTCCAAGCAACCTGTCTGTCGTCAACAAACTCCTCCCCGCATCTTCCCTACGGAGAAAGCCGTGTCTTCCCGAGTCGATACGAGGAGCACTGAACCCGAAGCCATGGAGGTGGGTCGTGCACGGTTGTCCTCAGAGGAGCGTGCACGTCGTATTCAGGCTCGGATCTGCCTGTATTGTGGAGAAGCTGGTCATTTCGTTCCTTCCTGCCCAGTTCGTCCGGGAAAAGGGCCGGCTCATCATTATTGGGAGAAGTTTTGGTGAGCCGAGCAGCGGATTCTTCCTCTTCTCCCCGCATTCTGCTCCAGGCATCCCTCCAGTGGCAGTCCCAGAATTTCTCTGTTAGTGCGCTGGTTGACTCTGGTGCCGACGAAAGCTTTTTGGATAGAGAGTGGGCTCAACAAATGGATTTGGAGACTGTTCCTATGGACTGTCCGCTGCAGGCTAAGGGTCTAAATGGACAATTGTTGACCCGTATTACTCATCAGACTGTTCCTGTTTGTCTCAGAGTGTCGGGAAATCATCAGGAGAACATTCAATTCCATATAATCGACTGCCCACAGACCCCCCTGGTCCTTGGTATCCCCTGGCTCATAAGACACAATCCACACATTGATTGGGTGACAGGTAGAATTGTTTCATGGAGCACATTTTGTCATGTGAATTGTTTGTGTTCTGCTCAGACCCCTGCCAGCACTGTGCCTCAACCTCCACTGGAGTCCATGGATCTTTTTGCTGTCCCTGACGTGTATCATGACCTGGCATCCGTTTTCTGCAAACACAGAGCTACTTCTCTTCCTCCTCACCGGCCTTACGACTGCGCCATTGACCTCCAGCCAGGAGCCCCGCTCCCCAGCAGTCGCCTGTACAATCTCTCCCGCCCGGCGACGGAGGCTATGGAGAACTACATTCGGGACTCCTTGGCGGCAGGTATTATTCGTCCTTCCTCGTCACCTGTAGGAGCGGGATTCTTTTTTGTTGCTAAGAAGGATAAGACCCTCAGACCCTGTATTGATTTCCGTGGACTTAACAACATCACCATTAAGAACAAATATTCTCTGCCATTAATTAATTCTGCTTTTCCCCTCCTTCATGGTGCAACTATCTTTACCAAACTGGATCTACGAAATGCGTATCACCTGGTGCGCATTCGTAAAGGTGATGAATGGAAGACTGCCTTCAACACACCCTTGGGACATTTTGAGTATCTAGTTATGCCTTTTGGGTTGTCCAATGCCCCTGCTGTTTTTCAGGCACTAGTCAATGATGTCCTTCGGGACATGTTGAATCGGTTTGTTTTTGTCTATCTGGATGATATCTTGATTTTCTCAGAGTCCTCCCAGGAACATGAACTGCATGTGCGCCAGGTGTTGCAAAGGTTGTTGGAGAACAAACTGTTTGTTAAGATGGAGAAATGTGAATTTCATGTGTCTGAGACCTCTTTTTTGGGTTACATCATAGCTCAGGGGGAGTTGCGGATGGACCCAGCTAAGATCTCTGCTGTCACGGACTGGCCAGCCCCCTCCACCCCCAAACAACTTAAACGATTCCTGGGGTTTGCGAACTTCTATAGGAGGTTTATCAAGGACTACAGCCGCATTGCGGCGCCACTCACCGCTCTCACCTCCATCTCACGACCGTTCGCTTGGAATGAAGGGGCCGAATCAGCGTTCGAAGAACTGAAACATCGCTT